AAAAGGTGAAGTCCAGTACTGGAGCAGATTTTTTTTAATTTTATCTTTTTGAAAAAAAAGACTTCCTGCTAAAGTTAGATACATTAATATCTCAAAACATTATTATAAAATGCTAAATCCTCACAGTAATAAATAAACATATTTTTCTATAAAATATTTTGTACTATTTTTGTACATGCCACGACACTATATTCTTGTATTGAGCATGTCTGAAAGACTCTCCCATGCAATCAATGTTGAGGTCAATGCCGGAAGATGGAAACCATTATCTTTCGGTAACAATCTAATCCCTCTCTCTCATTTATTTTTCGCTGACGATCTTATTCTCTTTGCAGAAGCCGATCTTTAACAGGTTAGTTGTATTCAAGAAACACTACGACTTTTTTCTCAAGCTTCGGGACAGATGATTAGTAGCAGCAAGTCGGTTATGTTTTGCTCTCCTAATGTTGATCCTGGCTTGGCGAACTCACTCAGGAGAGTCTTTCAAAGATATTTACTTTTTAGTATAGTATGCAGTGGTGGGCCTATCATCGGGCTTGGATAGGCTTGAGCACCCCGAATCGGCTGGAATTTTTTGCCGATCGGGTTATCCAAAGCCCCAATTCCCTCAAAAAGCACCTCCAGAAAAGGTCTTTGGCACTCAGCGCTGATAGAAATTAATCCAAGAAGAGAAGGGTAGTCAGAGTTAGATTTATTGATGCAAATCTGAAAGTTCTGCGATTTTCGAAGGAAAATTCCAATGAGAGAGACGATAAAAACTTTTAGTATTCTTACAATTTCAAGTACGGTACTTATTCGTTGCCGAATTCCCAGATTAGGCCCTACATGTTTTAATAAACTATTATAAAAGCCTCAATATATTGTCATGCAAACCCCTACAGTAAAGAGAATCTTGAAATAACCCCGTGACCATTGACCATTCCTTTGATGATGTTTATAAAACTTGCATTAAGCACATCAAATTTACATGTTCTCTAATAAGAACCCCACAATCTACATAGTTTAGGAGGGTTTTTATACCCTTTTTTTTGAAAAAAAAGTTGTTTAGTCATAAACGTAACTTTTAACCAAATAGAGACACAATTTTGTATTTTCATTTTAAGAAAAAAAATATATCATTGTTCTCAATGCACCCATACACATCCGCTTAGATGTATGTTACTTATGTACAAATCATACAGCTTAGTTATGAAAAATGTTGACATCTAACTATATAAGTTGTGCCTGCCTTGAAATGTTTGGGGCAGCCTCCCATGTTTAGACATGCTCTTCTTCTAGTTTCTTTTTGCATTTTTTAGGTGGCTTAGAGAATGCAGGATCGAAATAAATGCATTTTTCGCATCATATGAACATCGAAAAAAATCATGTTGCTTGATTACTTTGAAGTAGTTTTTTGTCTGTGTAGATATTCTTTTGTTTTGACGAAAGAATGATGATGAACGTGCTGTACCCTTTACTATAAGCTGTTTGGATTCATGAATCTCTAACTCATGGTGATCTTTAGATGTGTGATGGAAATGTCAGATTGTTAGTTTGCTTTTTCTTTTTCTTAGCTTGGATAACTTCCCATTTAAATGTCTCTGATTGCCCTGCTTCTCTTTTATTGCATCTTTTTTTCTTGATAGCTGCACTACTAGAGCAAAGAAATGCTTTTGGGATGGGAATTGATTCGACTATTGGAGAGAGTCGTCGCCTCTATGGCGAGTAACCCATCTCCTTCATTTTTTTATTATCTTGAAAGAAGGAATCTAATAACTGTATGTATCCAAAGTTTTGAGTTATTGGCGAAAACCAAAACATGAAGCCTCTCAGATAACCAATATTTATTCTTTTTGAATGTATTTCAGAAGATTATATTATAGAAAAGTTACTGTAAAGTATGAACAAATAGCTAATAGATATTAACACCCAAAAGTATAATTTAATCCGGAACCATCGTGAAAGCATTTTGATATTTCACACTAATTGGTCTTTTCATAATGTGACTTGGATAAGTAGTAACATTTCTATAATCTTGAGAAATGTTATTAAGCATGAAATATCAGTTGATTATATGCGTTCTTTTAGCATTATACTTAAAAGAAATCATGTCAATTATAGATTAATTTGTTTGTTGCTTCTCATAGGTCATAAGATAATCTTTTTTTTTTCAGACAATCTACACGGAATCAAGAAAGCAAACAATAAAGTTTATTCTATTGGCTGTTGTTTGCTGGGGTAAACTTGAAAGTTTTGGAGCTAAAGGTTTTAGGCAATTTCTATGTTGCGTATATATAATTAAATCTCTCTCTCTCTCTCTCTCTCTCTCTCTCTCTCTCTCTCTCTCTCTCTCTCTCTCTCTCTCTCATATCAAAAAGATCGAGTTTGGTCCTATTACAATTTACTTACACTCTATTAGCTTGTTATAAAAAACACAATTGAACAGTAACACTTGGTCCTATTACAATTTACTTACACTCTATTAGCTTGTTATAAAAAACACAATTGAACAGCAACACTTTTCTCCATTATATTGTTGTCAATTTATTTTTGATATGATATATCTTGAAATATCTCTTTGCAATAATTAGAAAAGTAACGATACATATCTCACAAATAAATTTTTATTCACATGGTGGTATTTCACCCATTTTCTTATATTCAGGAAGACGTTAATTATAGTTATCCAAATATTAAGAAGTAATGATTGGTTGTATTTCTGTAGTTGTATTAGAATTTTTCTGTTTTACATTGTAAACCAAAAATACAAAAAATAACAATGTTCCCCAAGAACTGATATTGCAAGGAAAGCTAACTCCCCCCAAAAAAGGTGGTGCCTGGTGGGGATAGAACCCCTTTTATTTAAATTTAAATAAAATTAAAAGAAGGTGGCAGTGTCGTGCAACTTACCATCTTTAACAGTATAAGAATTATAAGGTTAAAGGAAATAATGTTCAATAGAATTATTGACTCAATAGTACAAGAGTTGTTGATTCTGAATCTGCTTGTCCTGAGAGCATTGGAGTTTCTCTTGAGTGGATTTATTGATTCTTTCTGAGCGACGAACTGTAGGATTTACGGTGGTGTTAAGCTTCTTCTTTTTTTTTTTTTTTGTTTACGAGCAGAAATGAAATCGGGTTCAACACCCTTCTCAACTTGAATAAGTAGTTTTTCAAACTTTGCTTTGTTTTTTGCAATGAGCTGCTTGTTCTCGTCTGATTTTTTTTTGTGCTGGTGTTGCATTTTTATTCCCCTCATCGACTTTCAAATCACACTTTCTCATGAATTGATCCTCATCAGAAATTAGAGTGACTGTTGTTTCAATAAGCGGATATTCCATAGTTTCTACAGTAGAGTTTTCATCTGAATATTTCTTTTTGTCCATACATTCATTAATGTCCTCCACAGTGACTACCTCTGCCAAAATTTGGAATTGACTTGCTTTCTACCTGTTGACAAGACAACAAGTTGTTTTAGTTGATTGATGTGATCCAGATCTTCTTCCATTTGAGTTGCAAGGAAAGCTAACTAAATATGACTTGTGATGAATTAATCAAGCATATGAATATAGCACAAGATAAACCGACTAACTCCAATAAACTCATCCGATAGAAGAAAATGGTTGCATATTAATTTTAATCTAATCTTCTAACTTTTTGTAAAAATAGCTTGAAAAAATTTCATATCATGTTTTGACAACATATTAAACTGAGCCTAAGTATGTCCAAGTGACTCCATATCATGTTTCAATATAACCAAATCATCGAGGTTCATGTGCCATTTTGTAGACAAAATACATGAAAAGTAGATAGTTTCACTGCCAAATATATATATATATATATATATATATATATATATATATATATACACCTAATTTTCTTGCTTTTCCATATATATAACCCAAAGTTTCTTAAGTTCAAGTACGAGCTACTGAATTACATATAAATTAGAACATGATTAATTGAAAGATCAGTACAAGTTTCTCAAATATGTTCTGCTGATTGTAGTTGTTTATTCTTCTGTTGCTTGCTTATTTTTTCTTTCTTGTTTGAAAACTATCCATTAAATGTGAAATATGAACCTAAACATGAGTAAAATGTATCGTGGTTCTTTACATTAATAAAATATTGCTCTTTCTAGGCTCAGAATTCCTTGTCACAAGCAAGATAAAATCGTCATCTTTTTGAAATGTGACACATTCTTTTAATTTATTATATTTTTTCTTAATTAGTTATAATGAACTCGTATAGCCGTATAAGTATGTTACATAAGTTTTTATATTGATGATCAATTATTCAACCTCAAGTCAAATTAATTCAACTAAACTCTTAAGAGTTACAAAAACGATAACCCATCAAAGCAAAAATTACAAAGATAAGATTTAAGTAAGTGGGATATTCTTACATTCATAAAATAAAATGACTGCAAGAATGACTACACCCAAAAGAAAAAAAAAATTGCATTTCATCCAATGGTTAATTCTTTTCACATAATTTTCTAAATCATTTCATTCCAATTCAGTTCATGTTCCTTTAATGTTATGTTTCGACTAATACAGGTCGAAACATCAATCAAAAGTTCAAAACTAGGTAACTAAGTCAATACATTATCTAACTGACGTAATTCATTTCACATAATTTTCTAAATCATTTTGTTCAAAAAATTTCATCCCGTAATGTTATGTTTTGAGTAATGCAGGTCGGAACATCAATCAAAAGTTCAAAACTAGGTAACTGAGTCAATACATTATCTAATTGACGTAATTTACCTTGTAGAAAGATTTGCACCCTCTAAAATATAGTAATTAGATATAATAGTTTTTAAAATGAACATGATACGCTTGATTTTTGTGATTAAAAGTTTGATTTTGATACGTGTCACGTAACTCATACTTTACCCATGTATAAATACCAATCTTTTTTCTCGTTTGTCAAGTATACCATCAACCTTCTCTATAGATTCGTAAAACATATTTTTGTTAGCAAATAATGGTAACTGCGAAAATGAACCGAGATCGCTAGAGGGTAGATATGGTGAAAATGACAAACGAAAACAACCTGCAGGTGACGTTCTCTAAACGTCGTGTAGGTTTGTTCAAAAAAGCAAGCGAACTCTGTACCCTAACAGGCTCAGAGTTTGCTATTGTGGTCTTTTCTCCCGGGAGCAAAGTTTACTCTTTTGGCTCCCCAAGTGTGAGTCATATCTTAGAAAAGTATGAGACTCAAGCGTCTCATTTCGTTGGTCCTGATGGCTCAATCGACGAGGCAAACCATGCATTCTGTAGGGCTAACAAGATTACCCTCAATGAAGAACTGGGAGTACTGGAAGATTACTTGGACGCCGTGAAGAAAAGGACCAGTGAATTTGCAGAGGCAGTGAGAGCCGATGAGAATCGGTATTAGTAGCAAACTCCTATTGAAGAGCTCAGTGTGGAACAGCTCGAGCGCTGAAAATTGCTTATGAGGAGTTGGACAAAAGAGTTCAGATTCAGGCACAAAAAGGATTGCCTCCAAATGCCAATTTATTTCCAAATTTCACCATCCCAAAGCCAAATAATCGTCATAATGATCCTTTAGGTTATGGACCCCATCCACCACCATCACTAACTCAAAACATTCATTATCTAACTATGCCATCAGGTTCAAATTTTGCGGGTCTAATACTTTCAAATGACAGCATATCAGTTAAGAATGTACCCTCGTTTGCTGCTAATCAGGGACCATCTGGGTCTCGAGCTGATCGATGATTTATCCTTTCCTTTTGCTAATCCAAATGCAACTGATTAATGAATTCACCTGATGGATATTTCTGAATAAATTCCAGAGTTTGGATGAGATCTTTTACTTTTTGTATGATTGGTGTCTTATACCCTTGGATGTTGTTATAACTTGCTAGGGTTTTCCTGTAAGCACATTTTAAGTGCTTTTTTTTTTTTTTTGTTTGTCTTGTTGTGTAATTCCTTATCATCTTTAAGACGAAGGAATTTGTTTTGGTTTTATTAACTGAAGTTGTTCTTGTTGCATTTATTTTTTCATTTCTTTGTTTGTTCGAGTATCTTTCTACATTAGAGACATGATAAATCACTTTTTTAAAAAAAAAATCAAAATTAAAATATATACATTTTTGTTTGTTTTTTATAGCAATTATCAATTCTTTGTGTTTATATACAAATTCTCTTAAAACATTCTCATTATGATGACGCAATTATTCCAAACTACCAATCCTGCTTACCATGACGGATTATCATAGTTCATTCTTTTTCATCTTTACAGTTTCCTACATGAATTTTCAATTGAGTAAGTTCTAATATATATTTTCTATAACAAGATGAGAAATTTTTTAGATTATGATTTATAACTTCTCATATCTTTTCTTCCTTATTTAGATTTGTGTGTATATATATATATATATGTATATATAAACTTAACTGATAAGACCAATCTTTCTACGGAATTTATAGTGATATTAACTAAACTATTTTAATAATAAAAAATGATTAACCACAAGATTTAGAGTCAATTCAGAACACATCCAATCCTAAACCTTCTCTTCCTCTCCATAAGAAAGCGTTTATGGGATGAAACTTCTTCACTAATTTTTTGTTTTGGAAAAATTACAAGGCAAGATATATTTTTAATTTAGATAGCAAACTTTTAACAATTAAAGTAAAACATCGCTAAATTAATAAATAATAAATTAATAATTTCAAGCAATTAATAAATTTTTCCTGTCTCAACTTGGGACCAATACATAAAATAAATAAAAATTGATTAAGTAATAAGGTAATGATGTTTCATAAAATCCTGCATATAACTGTAGGTCCCAACAATAACAGAAATTAATTGTTCCATTAAATTAAAATAATAATATAATAATTGTAATAATTTAATAAAATATGAATCTATTCATGTGAGGCGCCAATCTTGAGACCTCTGTATTTGTACGTAGATGATAAGTGAGCACCTAACTTAATATTTATCGGTAGTAGCTATTAGTTATATGGTACTATACATGAGTAATGAGATAACTCAAGTTGATAATAATACTTGCAAACTGTATACAATAAATAGACAATGAAAAACTTTAATTAAATACAGACTAATAGCATTAGAATCAAATAGATTGATTATTCTTCATTATATTTTTGTAGAAAATAAAATGGGGGATCAATTTAACTAAACTTAGAATCTTAAAGGTTGCATAAAGAAAAGAAAATTATGAAATCCTCCCCACCGTTTTCTTCCCTCTCCTCGGATGACAACGCACTCGCACACACACTCAAAAATTGACAACACAGCTTGAGAATACTTTGACTCGCCTTACACTATCATTCCCGTCATTCACCATACTTCCACTTTCTTCGGCCCCAAATTCACCTTCCAAAATAAAATCCCTTCCCATCACTGCCGGTCACCACCATCGTGAAACCCCATTGTTACTCACCTAGCTTCTACACCACCCTGCTCCTCTTTCTCTCTCCCACACGCACTACCCACCCTACCTTTCATCTTCATCTCTTCTTAACATTTAAAAATTAAATCAAGAAACAAATACAAGAGCGGAAGCTTTGCAATTATATCAAAGGAAAGAAGGAGCCGAGAGAAGGAGAAAGGAAGAAAGAAAGAAGAGGAGGAGGGAAAAGGATTAAGGTAATTAGAAATTTTGACTATTAATTTGTGTTGTTTAAGGTTGCAAACTGTTTCCCTTGGCTAGGATTATAGCTTAGCTTGATGCATGTGAAGGAAATTTAAAACTATAAATTGAATCTAGTCAGCCTCCGTTTTGCTTTCATTTGCGAATTATGTGCAAGATGGTAAATGGAAGACAATACAGAGAAGTATGTCATTTAGTTGAACGTTCAGTTCACAGAAAGCATGCCATGTAATTGAGTATTTAATTCTTGGGTTGGCTGCGTCTTTTGGTGGTTATAAATTGTTTATGGAATATAGAAAATGAAATTTGGATGATCTAAGAGTCATGATTTGTCTTAGTAATGATTATATGTGATTAGAAACGAGTTACGCTCACTTTATGTTTGCTAAAAGTTTTGAAAATCAGATTATGTCCCTCTGTTTGCAGGCTTGTTTCTCCTAGGTCTTGATCTCTTTTCTGAATTTTCTTTATATAGAATCTTCTTCATTTAGTGTAGATTAAAGCGATTTTTAAGGATCATTAGACAAACTCCTAGTTTGTCCAAAAAAAAAAATCTAATTTGAACATGGCATTTTCTTGCTGAAAAAGGCAGAAAATTCAGAATTGAATCCTTCTGTTATCAAGTCTTTTTCTCTTAGGTACTAAACTCTTTTTCGAATTTTCTTTTTGTGAAACTGTTCTTCATTCAGTGTACTTCGCTGTGGTTTTTACGGATTTCAAAACGGATTTGTTGATTAGCCAGAATCTTGATTTCAACATGACAAGCGTTTCCTGAAAATCTGTGCTGAGTTGCTGTTTTCGGAGATTCGTTTCTCCCTTCTCTTAAACTGTTTTAAAGAACTTCTTTTTGCAAATGTCTTCTACGAACGTGGAAGTTTATTCCAGGATTTTCGGATTGCAAATTGATTTTACGGATTCTCTGAAAATCAGGTTTGAACTTGAGAAACAAAGTCTGGAATTTCTTAAACAAACTGATTTAAGGTGTTGATTTACAGATCATTTTTCTTCTGAGCATGAACTGTTTTTCTTGATTTCTTTGGTTAAAACTCTTCCTTGTTTACCCTAGTTTAACATGGTTTTGACGGCTCATAAATCAGATCTTGGGTTTGATCAAAAACATACTTTTAATATGAACAATGATCTACAAGTTGCTGAATTTTCAGAATTTGAAAAGAATTAGAGGTTACTTTGGAGCTTTTGTTTTCCTTGACCAAATATCATTTCCTCACTTGATTTTTCATCTTTGTAAACCTTGGCTGAAACAAGTGTTCAGTAGAACTTGCAGATTGGAATAACATTTCAATACTTAGGAAACACCTATGGAGTTTAATGATTAGAATATGGCATTTTCCGAATTTTGTATGTTTTGTTTATTCTGAATATTCGAAATGTAGTTGCTACCTTCCGACGTGACATGAATTCATTCTTAGGAAGGCCTACTGAGGAGTTAGCAACATGTAATAAGGATTAGAACTAGACAGTACATAATAGTATCACTTCACTTGTCTTTGGGCAGTAATGCTAAAAATACTTGTTTGATTAACAGATACTCATGAAAGCATCATTGAACTCCATAAACCGGTACAGGTGAGTACCTCCTCTCACGCTATATATTGTAATCTTATCTCCCCTTCTAAGTGCATGATTGTCGAGTGATGTTTGTGTACTTGTGCTTGTGTTCTTTAAATGAATTGCAAGTTTTGTGTACTACTTGAACCTATGTTACGAGTACTTGAACCTTATGATATGAGAACGTGAGTTATTACTTATGTGTGTGCATTAAACTTGCTCGCCCTTATTGAATGAATTGATTGTCCTTACTGATCGGTTGTGTACTTTATCACACGAGATCTCTTACTGTCATGATTTGTAAACGAATACTTGTGCATGAATTGCCATGAAATTATTGAGACTTGGATGTGTACATTATCACACCAGTCTGGGGGCGCCGCTACCATAGATCGAATCCAACGGGTCGGCATTGGGCACAGACGTATGGATAGACTATGGATAGCTTTAGTAGGCGTGTACGAGCTACGAGTACTTGACTGTTGTGGCCACTTGGAGTGACGGGTTATTGTTTTTGGATTTGAAATGTAACTTGAACACCAATTGGGAATCTAACTTGGAAGACAACCCAAAAGACCACATAGGTCTTCGGCAGTCTCAAGTTAAGATCCACTCGTATTCTCATGAAAATATATCAATGGCCTCGGATATGGTCATCTTTTATGTGCTAATGTGACTGAATGTTTTTTTTTCATGCTAATGTGACTGAATGTTTCTTTTTTGAATGCAATTCATCACGTAGATAATGTTAGTCTAACAGTTATATTGATAGAACTTTATAGACAATGTTAATAAATGAAAATGATGGATGAAAATGAACTGTGTGAATAACTACATGTGCATGTGACTTGATTACCGTATGGAGTGTGAGAAACTGGGAGTTGTTGTTTGAGGTATTCACTGGGCTTTAAAGCTCATTCCCATTATTTTTCCTCACAGGTTAGCAGGCTAGCTGAGTAAGGAAAAGAATAAAATGAATTGATTGCAAAGAGAAGTATTTGGCTTTTCTTTAGTCTAGAGCTTATTTGAATTTCCGAATTTGTATTAAAGTTTGGAAACATCTTTGTTGTAAATAAGGTTTCTGCTATGAAAATTCAGGAGTTTGAACATTTAATAGACTAATTAGTGCTGTTCCACAAAGCCTTGGGTGAGAGATCGTCCGGCAGGCGGCTCAAATTGTCATCAAGCACGATATTTTGTCGAGCTGGACACATGGGTCGTCACAATTAATGCTTTTTTTGAGTATGTAAACTATATATGAGTATTAGTATTGAGAAGAGTTTCAATATCTACTTAATTTGGATTGTAAAAATGATTGAAAATTACATAACCGAACAAGGATATTTTCACTTTAACAAAATTATTTAAATTGATAACTTTACTAATATATCGATTATTTAATAATTTTTAAAATTAATAAATTTTTATGGTCCAAAAAACTATTAATTTAAAAATAAATTATTGTATCTCTAAGTTAACTGGGATTGCAGCGGATGCAAAAGAACAGAGGTTCGACATGGTGACAAGTGCAAAGCGAATCCGTCTTTCTTTCACTAGATGAAACTAAATAATTAGGTATGAAACGTAAAAGACAGAAAGAATAATAGTAACTTTTGTACGAGAGTTTCTCGACCAAGAGGTATAAGTAAGCATGCCTAAGCTTCCGATTCGAACCGGAACCAAACCGGATCATAAAACCGTAACAGAACCTTATATTGGTGGTTCAGTTAAGGTTTTATTAGTTTTAAAACCGTGAACTGAGGAAGCAAACCATTAATTTTGAACCGTATAATCTGTCGGTTAAACCGTATTCTAATAATTCTATCATTTGTTTAATTCTCTCTCTCACCACCTTCTTCTCACCACCAAAACTATGCAGCTTTTCTTCATTACTACTTAATCATTCGTAGAGTTGTTATCTCATATTGCTATCAATATAAAAATATTCATAAAAGAGAAATTCAAATTAAAGTCCAAAAAAGTCGCTAATATAATATCAAAAATAAACCCAAATCCAAGAATGATAAATATAACACATTTTAGACCATGTACTCTTCCTTTATTTTACACATTTTACACAAGATATACATATATTCAATATAGGTTTTCTCTCTCGAACCATGTACTAACTAAAGTATCAGAGCGGTAACTTCTTTTTGTAGGTTTTAGGTATTATTCTCTCTTAAATCATCAACAATGCGAGCTCTAAACATTCTTGCGACCTTCGACTTCAGCAATAACATTTTAGTTTCTTTTAGCATAGTTATTTTTTAAAATATGACAAACCATCTCTTATTTAAATAAAGTTTGTAAAAAACACTTGTTGATTTGAGTAAGACTTAAGCACTGCCTATGTATTATTATTTTTCATACAGTTAAAATTTAGGGTCAAGTATTATCGTTTTTTTAAAAAACAAATATATACATTTGAGTTTCTTACTCCATATTCCACATCACTTTTTAAAAAAGAAAAGAAAAAAAAATTATTAAACAAAAGAAATTTGATCGAAAAAAGAAAAAAAATTAAACGAAACTGCCTTAACTTAGAACTAGAAAAAAGCATAACAGAACTAGAACCAAACCAGAACTAACAGTTCTCGAAGTGTTACCGGAACCATAGTATTAAGGGGCGGTTCTGGTTCTTATTTTTATTCAACTGGAATCGGCGGTTCAAGAACTATGGGTATGTACGAGTTTCCCTAAATCAGTAAGTAAGAATAGAATCCAGCTTAGTGGAAATGGGATATACAGTTTCATTGTGACAAGCAACAATACCTTTTATGTATAATTTTTTGGTATTTATCTCACTTTTTTTTATTATTTATCTCCTTTTTTTTAGCTCTTGTTCTCCAATTATCGAAGGATAGCTTCATCAACGTCTTTGCAAAACTTCCTTAAACAATACACTCGTGAACAAACTACTGCCTACAAAGTGTGATTTTCTCATTAGTGATTGGAAAACGATTTACGTACTAATATTAATTGTATACTTAAATTTTTTTCCAGTATTTGAAAAACATTTTTGACATTGTTTTATTCTTTTGTCAATATTTTTGTTCGTGACAAAGAACTTTCCTTTTACAATTAAAAATCATGTAAAATATGTGCTAACTGTTTTTATTGAGATTGATTGTTTGAATGAAACTCTACAGGTCTATACAAGGACTGATGAAGAAATATAACACCTTAAACCTAAAAAATTACAAACATTCTCTCAAACTTAACTTACCTAAAGCATGGAATATATAAGTGTCTAACTGATTACACAAATGTAATTGTTGTCCAAACAAAAATACAATAAAAGGAGATGTATGTGCATTTCGTATGATGGATCATTTATAAGCTCACATTTATAATTAAAAAGTACGCAATTATTATTCAAATTCGACTACTTAACATAGAATACAATAAAAATAAATTATTTGTTACACTTTCCAGTCCTTGTTTCTAGATAAATATTTGACTAATTCATTGCGATATATTGGTCATTTCTCAATGTACTTGATTTTCTCTTTATTGAAAAATATTTCATTGAGCAAATCATTTTTTTTTCAGATAAAATTCTCAATATTTCTTATACTTTCCAAAATTGTCGAGATCATAAAATCTTTAGCTGAATCGGTGAAGAAAAAGTAGAAACAGAATTGAGAGTTGGCAGTGGTAGAAAATAACGATGGATATTGGTTTTATTTGGTAAAAATACCAAAATGACGTAGTTTTAGTAATTGGAGGAATTAAAAATAAAATACAAAAAATTCCTGACGAAAATAACGTATTTTTGGTAGCTGGGGTTTTAAAACAAAATTGAAAAAAGTTTGAGAAAATTTATTAGTTACAAATTAACACCACTTAAATAGATGGCGGATAAACCGATATAGACTGTTGGATTAAAGTCTAATCTCTCGTCAACTTATAATCCGTATCAAAATAGATATTATAATTAATATTTACCGTACTTATCTCCTTAGACAAGAATGGAGTAAAATGATTAGAAAAAATACTGGTCGCGCAACACGCGACACAAATAGCACTATTATAAGTTAAAAAGTCAGTTCTCAAAATTGATTCTCCTTTTCAAATTCCGTGTAATCCGAACTTACTTTTTTATTTTAAAAAAATTAAATTCAATTATATTTTATTATTTCCGTAAACTGGAATTCCAAAAATCGGATTTCAGCTATTCATTTTTTTGGTCATTTTACTGTTTTCCCCAGAAAACTTAAAAATATTTTCATATTTTATTATTTTATATTAAGTTAGATTTTCGTAATCCGAGTTATTAATCCCAATTTTAAAAATCAGAGTTTACTTCTCTGTATTTTTTTGTCCACAACAAATAAAACAATTTACGAATGTTCAGGTAAAATTAAATATCAGTTTTTTTAGCAGCACTCTGGAGGGGACGAAGAAGACAGGGGGAAAAAAGTTTTTTTAAAAAAAAACAAAAGAAAAAAAAAAGGAGCTAACATAAGGAGATAGAGCTAGTAGACCACACACTGATCGATGGGCTTGTAGTCAGTGGGGTATTTGCATGGGGATTGATAAGAGTGCGAGGAGAGATGAAAGTTGCAAGCCTTGTAAGAGAATTTGTGGCTGGAGAGAGAGGAAAAAATGAGGAAAACGAGCTTAGATTGGAAAGATCAAGGCTGAAGAAGCAGCTAAAAGTCGTGGTTTCTTCTTCGGACGCTAATTTGGTTTTAGCTTATCAAACGTTTTCGTTTTTGCCCTTTTTCTTTTTTCATGGTTGTTGAGAATTAAAATTGCTTGGATGTTAGGATTTTCTGTAATTTGATTTGTATTTGTCTTTAATAATATCCTCTTGTTCTGCAATCAAAGAAGAAAGAGATAGAACATGACAATTGAACAAGGAGGTCTTTCTAATGTGGTCATGTGTACACAACCTAACTCTACAACCTGTCGTCTTGTTCAGGTTTAAGGAGGCATTCCCTTGCCTTGTTTACAACTGAAACTAACCAAAAATATACAAAATGATTAATGATCTCTAAAAACGTGCGAGAGATCTAAATCAGAGATGTACAATACAAATCCCCCTGCAAGGTAACAAAAAATCACCAGAAAAGGGATAAAAAATGCAGTGCTACATTCCGCTATCTAATTTTCAGTAAGTCTACTATGCAGTTTCAATCTCTTGGATGACCATGTTACGGTAGATTCGCAAAAATATGAACCTGGTCTTCCAGCCAAGTGGTTTTGCAACGACGGAAAGACCTGATCTTCAAACCAACTCGCTTCTCGTTATTGGTGGAAACTTGAGGCTAGTAAAGCAGATGCCAGATCTTCAAATAATGAAAGTGGTTTTTGAAAGATCAATCATGAGAATTAGTACAAGATGAGACCTTTAACTGATCCATGTTCCTATGAACCACGTCTTCCAATAGTCTCTTTGCTGTTTCAGCCGCTCTGTCGGTTCCATCAACTTGTGTAGCAAAATCATACACTATTCTCTCAAATACAGTAGATGACATCCTCTTTTCAGGACATTCTCTAAGCAAGTCAAGAAGTAACCGGGCTCTATTCTGAGCTTCGGATGTACCTTCTGCAGTAAGCCGTAAGAGACCTGGAATGGGGCCTTCGTTAAGGATAAGTCCCCTATACTTTTTTCGGTCGCTTTGGCAAAAGGATAGTAATGCACCAACTGCATGTTCTGTGCTGACAAGAGATCCCTCTTCAACAGTCAATACTAGGGTTAATATTCCGCCATCTACATTAGTTATTGCTGTCCTTCCTTCTTCAGAATGACAAAGGATCTCAAGCAGGGATGATGTTTTCTCAGCGAATTTTGAGTATTTTTTGCATTCTTTAAGAAGGTTTATCAGAGGTGCAGCAGCTCCAGCATCAAGAACTATTTTCGGTTCTTCTTTGCTTGTAGATAGATTGTGAAGTGCTGTGACAGCATCAACTCTTCCTTGAAGACTTCCGGATCTGAGTACATGCATTAAAAGTGGGGCAACTCCAGAAGCTGCTATCACGGGCTTATTATCAGAGGCAGCTGACAATGATAAGATAGTTGCAGTTGCTAATTCTCTTAAGTTTCCATATTCTATTTTCAACAGCCCAATAAGAGGAGGAATGGCACCTGATGAAACTATAGTGACCTTGTTTCTGTAATATGTAAATAAATAGGAAAACATGAGCTAACAAGACATCAGAAACTTTAAGCAAATTGCCATTAAAATAGTAAATTGCATAATATTACTTAAAGAAGATCAACAAGAAAATGTTGGAAAAAGAATTGATGGTCATGTTTAAACCACAACCTTCTATAAATGTAAATGAAGATAAAAGCATATTTCAAAAATAGTCTTAAAAAAATCAAAATCTAAAACCCTGAAAAAGGAGGGACACAACGTCGAAACCAATAAATATTCAATATTTTTCTATCCAAAGCTGATTCCGTGGACGATTCTAATGACCATGCGAAAGAGAGCCTCGGCCCAACAGTAAGAGCTGTTCATATGAAACCCCAGGACATATCTTCGAGATGAGGAAACAAATTTTTACAGACACGCAGATAAAGTTGTCAACAATAGGACCTGAAGGCCCAATCTTTCCCAGGTCCTACACATGGGGAAGCTTCTATGCAAAGGACAGCGCTTTTTATCTAAGAACCCTTTAGGCATGATCAAATACTTAACCAAGCAACATTGGAAGCACAGAAAGGATTGTAAACGGGTTACCTCTGAGCCTAAAAGGTCAATCATTAACCATGCCATGGTGGTCATGTAAACTCGCACTTATATCAACTTACAATGCCTCAGTAATACCAAAAATATGCCTGCAGAACCTTCATTTATTTTCACAATTTTTGGTTTAAAGAAACTTTCATTTCTCCTAGTTCCTGTTATGCTTACGAGACTTACCAAATGGGATAAAACCACCAAAGAAAAACAATTGTATCTCATCAGAAGCTATTGAAATATAAGGGTTAGTACGAGTGTGGGAGGAACCTACTATAATCTTTTTCAAGAGAACATCTTTACCCTCAGTTCCACTTCCAAAAGCACTCTTTCATAAACGTGCAAGAAAATAAACTTAAAAAAAAAAAGAACAAGAAGAAAGAGTAAACCACAGTGGATAGTTTCTTCTTAAAATAATTCTCTCCGAAAGCCAAGGGGTATACTGTAATCCAAAAGCTATGGAGTCTAATAGCAACCATTCGGGCACTAACAAGATCGTGACACAGACATCCTTCTCGAATTGACATCATTGATATGAATAACATAAAAGTAAGCAGGCACATCTATTAGTCAGAGAGCTTCTTATAACAGAACAAGTATCTCTATCCTTGCTCACAAACATCTCAATGGTTTCAGCAGTTTACAAGAGACACCCTAATCCCTAGAATAATATCAACAGAAATGGATACTCTTAATTGGAGAACCATCCTATGGATACACCAGTTAATTAATAAGTAAATGATGCCATACACTTTTCTGCAGACATTATCGTCATTCACAGCCATTGTATATGCTTAGACTTCCATTAATCTGACATTCTCAAGAGCCAACCTAAATCTTCCTTTAGTTGGAAAACCTAAATGCTAAAAGCTCACTTTTCCCCACAAAAATGTCTAAGGATCAAACACTACAAAGTGTCAGAGCAAACAAAACTTTAGAAGTTCATAAACACCAGAGGTCAAGCCATATCAGCAACTGTTGTCACATATTCTGTTAAATCTCTGCCAAAGCTACCGTGGCTGTAAAGTTTTGATAAAACGAGGGTACTTCCCCGAGGACAGAAACCATACATTCAAGCATAGGAATAATCCTTGCTGTAAAATAATAAACACAGAAATCAATATTTAGGTTAGTAATTGCGGTTACGCACTCGACAAATTGCTACACCTTAGATGTGTGGCTCAGCTATATCCCCAAGAGCTAGGCTTCAACTTTCAAATGTGACACTGTTTCCTCGGTCTATAAATCATCGCGTCATGAGTGTTTCCACCAATCATTACCACCCGAACAATGAATGTGATTGACTAATGATTCTTTACACCGAGCACAACATATATAATAAGGAATGACACTTGATCTTCTCATAACAGGCAATCAAAGATCACATGAAAATTTCAGCCCAAGCACCCATGTCAGTTCCTTATACTAGGTTTATCAAAACATTCCAGCTTCCCAATCGAGTCCTAACACACTTCTTGCTTAGCATTTTAGTCAAGCACAGTCAAATAAGTCAGAAGGATGGGAACATAAATGTCAGTATGTTTCTCAAAGTTCTTGAATCAGCACATAAAATCGTTCCAGGAAACACAGAAGAGGGATCGGCGGCATTATCGCAAGCAGTTGAAAAATTATTAGGACAAATTAAAGAAAAAAGTGAATTAAATTTTGAGTATCGAGGAAAGATGAGAAATAGAGGGGAAAAGGACGAACTGTTCATTGCGGACGGCGAGATTGAGGAGCGCAAGCAGAGCAGCCTCACGGGCTGAGTGTTGATGAAGAAGGAAAACGAGCGGCTGAATGACACCAGCGGCGGCTAAACGAGAACGAACTTTCGAAGAAGATTTGGACCTCCGGACGAGCCTCCGGACGTCTTTCGCGGCTTCTATTTGCGCCTCTAAGCTCCCGCCCCTCACCAGCCTTTCCACCACTCGGTCGATTTCCTTACTTTCTGCCGGCGGCGACCGTGACGGAGAAGGCGACGGAGGGTCAGTTTCGTCGAGTGTTATTTCCTCCGCCAGTGATGAGCTTTCCATCTGTGTTTGACAAATTTACCCTCCAACTTTTTCCATGTTATATTGTTCGCTGGAGATAGATTGGGTTGAGGTTTAACCGGTTTATGGTATAGCAAAGCAATATATATGTCTAATAATCTTACGTGTCTCGAAATGATTGTCCCACTTTAAATTTTTATTTTTAGTTCATATTAGTACTATATTGTAGAAATAAATAATAGGATTAAGTATAAATTTTAACAACTAACATAGATTCTCTTTGTTCCAAAATAACAGTTCAATTTGAATTTTCGCTTTTAGTACAATCGTTCGAGACGATAAATTACATATCAATCTAATTTACTTTGTATTGTTATAAGATCTGCTATATTGATACGCAATGCTTACCATTTTAATGACTTTTATGTTCATCTTTTTTAAAAAAAAAAAATAATTTGTGTTGACCACATCTCAATTATTATTTTTCTTTTCATAAAACATCTCAATCAATTAAAAATGTTAAAAAAATTTCTAATTTTACAGCACATAATCATATTAGTAAAATAATTGATTCCAAGATAATAGTTAAAAGATTATTCACTTTTCAAATTCTCTAATTGAATAATATGTAATAATGTTGGGATTATTTAATAATATGTAACCATTATATAAATTTAATAATAAAAAAATTATGAGGTTTGCACGAATTACATTAGATCTGACTTTGAAATTTTAACATTATATCCCTCATGTGAATAGAATGTTATGAGTCAGGAAATATTATTGATTAATTAGGGTATTAATCTTACCATTATAATCAACTCACGAAGTAAAATATTTAATTTTGTCATATATATTTAATTTGTACTAATTGGAAATTCAAAACTTAAAATGAAGGATACATGTGTGTTATTTAACCAAATTTTAAAAATATAATGAGAATATTTCAAATTTTAACCAAAATTTAAGAATTTTAAAAATGAAGTTTCCTTTGCCATGCAGGCTTTTACAGGAGATTCATCAAGAACTTCTAAAACATATGTAAGCCTTTGCGTAATCTTCTAGAGAAGGACGGTGCATTCATCTTTGATGAACCCTGGATCAAGGCATTTGAGGAGCTCAAAAAGAAGCTTATTTCTGCTCCTGTGATAGTCACACCTAATTGGAGTCAGCCATTTTAGGTAATGATTGTTGCCAGTGACTTTGCAGTTGAAGTTCTGCTAGGTCAAAGGAGAAACAGAGTGTTGCATGTCATCTACTATGCAAGCAAGACTTTGAATGCAGCTCAAGTTAACTACTCAACCATATAGAAAGAAATGCAGGCGATAGTGTTTGCATTTGATAAATTTAGATCCTACTTTTTAGGGATGAAAGTCATTGTATACACTGATCATGCAGCCATCAAATATCTGGCCATAAAGAAAGATTCAAAACCAAGGTTCATTAGATGGATGCTCTTGCTGCAAGAATTCGACCTGGAGATCAAGGACAGGAAAGGCATCTAGAACCAGGTGGCTGGCCATCTATCAAGACAAATGCACCTAAAGATCTTGAGTCTGTTGCTAAAAGCATTCCTTGATGAAACACTTTGGAAAGTGACAGAAGCACTTGCTCAAGTGTTTGATCAGAGGCCTTGGTTTGCTGACTATACAAACTATGCTGTCTCTGGAGTCACACCAGAGGGACTGACCTGTCAGTAAAGAAAGAAGTTCATTCATGATGCAAGAACTACTATTGGGATGACCCATACTTATACAGGATCAGCTAATCAAAAGATGCATTCGAGAATCAGAAGCCCCAACCATCCTAGAAAAATGTCATAGCTCACTCTACAGAGGACAACATGGAGGCTGAAGTACTGCGGCTAAGGTACTACAATCTAGTTTCTTTTGACCTACTTTATTTAAGGATGCTAGAAATTTTGTGCTTAGCTGTAATAGATGGCAAAGAACAGGAAGTTTGTCTTGGAGAAATGAATTTCCACAGGAGATGATCTTGGAAGTAGAACTCTTTGATGTGTAGGGCATAGACTTTATGGGACCTTTTCTGTCATCTTTTGGCAACACACACATTCTACTTGCAGTTGATTATGTTTCTAAGTGGGTAGAAGCTGAGGCAGTTTATACCAGTGATGCAAAAACAGTGATAAAGTTCTTGAAAAAGAACATCTTTTCACGGTTTGGCACTCAAAGGGTGATGGTCAGTGATGAAGGCTCTCACTTCTGTAATAGAGCATTCACCAAGCTGATGGCTAAATTTGGCATTAAGCACAAGGTTTCTACATCCTATCATCCCCGGTCCAATGGCCAAGCAAAGGTGTCTAACAAAGAGTTCAAGAAGATACTGGAAAAGGTGGTCAGTATCTCAAGAACTGACTGGTCTGCAAAGCTTGATGATGCTCTCTGGGCATATAGGACTACATTCAAGACTCCAACTGGCATGTCTCCATTCAAGTTGGTATATGGGAAAGCATGACATCTTCCTGTTGAGTTAGAGCATAAGGCTTATTGGGCCGTAAGAGTGTTGAACATGGATCCAAAACTCAGCAGGGAAGCAAGGCTGCTGTAGTTGAATGAATTGGAAGAGTTTAGGCAATAAGCTTATGAGTCATCCAGGATCTACAAGGAGAAGCCCAAAGGATTTCATGACAGGAAGCTGGTTAGCAAACTACTGGAGGTTGGCCAGTTAGTCCTACTTTACAATTCCAGGCTAAGACTATTCCCTGAAAAATTGAAGTCAAGATGGGGAGGGCCATTTAAGATCAACAAAATCCTGAGCCAAAGAGCTGTGGAACTGCTCAATCTGCAGGATGGTAGCACATTCTTAGTGAACGTACAAAGGCTGAAGCCATATGTGGGGATGCAATCTGAAAGAGAACGGGACAGTCATGCCCTGGCACTCCATGATCTTGAGTAACCTTGCAGCAAAGTCTGACATAAGACTATAAACTGTGCGCTTCTTGGATAGCAACCCAAGCATCTTTTGTTATAACCCTTTTTCTCCTATCATTTTGTTTATAATGTAGATAAAATCCACCGAGACAAATAGCCAAATTACAGGAAGGAGTGATGACCAATATCTAACTAATGTTATGAAGAAAAGCGAGGAAACATGATCTAACACTTTGAGAAGTTTGGATGGCCACTTAAGAAAGTCAGGATCTGACTTGCGTAAGTCATTTTGAGCATTCGAAAATGAACGTAAGTCAGTCTTTGGATTTGGGAACCTGTCTTTACTTTAAGTTGGGGGGAGGGGGGAAATTTTGACTTTGGTTACTATGTTTTGGCGGCCAGAAAGGAATCAACCATTCTTGTTTTTGAAATGACTATACGTGGGGAGCTGTTGCCTTTAACTAAAAAACTGAAACACCCACGTCCCAAAGTCATTACTATCCGCCCTTTTGCCTCCCTCTTAATTCCTTCTTCCGTCTTCTTCCTGTAACCAGAAGACCCTCTGGACAGACGGATCTTTTTCTAATTAAAACCCTTCCGGAAAAACAACCATCTCAATTACACCTAAAAAAATTTTTCAGATCTCACTTGTCTTCGACAAAAGGTCGAATCTTTTTGTAGGAAAATATGGTGAACAAAAATTAGTCAGACAGAAAGCGCACTACCAATAGGCATCTACGCATCGGAGTTCCACAACCTCCACCACCTAAACCTAGGCAGCCAAGTAGATTGCAACGAGAAGCGGCGGAGGCGGCTTTGCAAATCGAAAGAGATTCTGCCCTCTATAGCACCGACGAAGCTTGGGCCTTTTTAGGACCAATCAAAATAGGCTCGTCATAGTAGAGAGGGGGATCGATTCCAAGGATTTTTCGATGATGTACATACTTCTGCACAACTGGACAAAGCTCTGTACCCCAAACTGGAGCCCAAGGATACAGGTGGTCCGAGAATTTTATAGTAACCTTGTATCTGTAGAATAGGATGTGGTGTATGTCCAAGGAAGGCATGCTAATATTTCCCCTGCTGCAATTCGGGATATATTGGCCTTAGAATTTTGGAGACAAACTATGTCAAGGCATTGGAAGCACTACATCCCAACGAAAATCCCATGGGACTTGAATGGGATTTGAACAAAGAAGGAGCCCCGGGTTCCTTTGACTATGCCTGGCTAAGCCTGAGAATAAGGTGTGGCTGAAGTTCATTATCACAACCATCATGCCCACCATGCTCAGTCAAATTGTCACTTATGAGTGAGCTCTGCTCATTCATGCCATCACCACCTCTACTCCCATTGATGTGGTGAGTATAATCAGGGAGCAGATGGCCAGATGCATTACTGATCCAGCAGTTCGAAGTTGGTATTTTCCTTTACTGGTCATTATGCTTTGTGCTAAAGCAGATGTACGGTTTGTTCCCGCTGATCTGCACGAATCAATCTCTCGGCCATGGAGCCTAAGATCATTGTCCAGGGAGCCAGCATCAAGGGAGGAACCACCACAAATCACCGGTGTCAGAATGAAGGACTTCACCAAGTAGCACAAGTACCTGATGGATTATATGCACAAGCTGGCTGTAAGGCAGGAAGCTATGATCCAGCACATCCATGGCAGGATGTACCAGTGATTACACAATGCACCAAGGACCACCACCTCATCCCTTTGATGGGATGAATCCATGATCATCAAGGGAGTCACTAGTTCCTTTTCTTTTCGTTTTTGTTTTTCTTTTTTTTTTTAATATTCTGTTTGTTCCATTCTTTTCATCTCTTCTCTATTTTTGTTATCAACATTGGAGACATGCTGCATTTTAAGTTTGGTGGGTGAGTGAAATTTATCTTTAGGTCTCTGTTTTTAGGTCTGTGCGTATATGTGTCCTATTTTTGGGCTCAATTAGGTCTCTATTTTCCCCTATTTTCTCCGTTTTTCTTTGTTTTGTTTTTTTTTATGCGATCGAGTCAGTTAGGCCTTTTCTGTTTAGGTTAAATTGAGAATGCATGTTAAGTAGATAGTCAAATGTCAAGGATAAAAACAGAATTAAGGCTCACATTTGGTTGAACACTTGTTTAAAAACCAACCGACCAAGTTCGAACCTTACTTCCACTTCCTTATGCACACAGTTCACTTGAAAAAGTGTTGTTCTGGACTAAAATTCAAAAAACTTTGAAACTTTTCCTGTATTGTTGTGATCTGTGCTAGCTCACTTGTCTGTTAAACTTGGGGGGACTGTGATCCTGGAAATAGATTAAGGCAGCCCTACGCACTATGGCAGCCTTGATTCAAGCCTATATGGTTTGGAAAAGTCTAAAATACCTGGGAAAAATCGGAGTTGGCGGTTAAAACTGAGGTTAAGTGTTTAGCTAATTGAGAGAGTATAGGCAGAGTCTCCAATATGGCATTATAAACCTTTGAGGTAAGACATGGAATCTAAAGAAATGAGTGTCCTCAGGTTAGTGAGATGAAAAATATAGATGCTTAGAATACCATAAAAGTGCTGAAAAAATGTACTTGGTATAGGCCTGAGTGGGAAAGATCCAGAAGAAAAGCCAACTTGGACAAATGATGGAGAGGGGCATGAGGGTGAAAGATGCAGCCAATGTGCTAGCAACAGAGAGGAAGCCCTTAGTCTCAATTCCAATTATAATACCCTAGTTGCAGACCCGATGGAAATAGGTACAGATCCAGGAATGTCCACTTGTGCTGAATTGAACTTAAGTTAAGAGGGAAAATCAACACTTTGTTCTGTGTTTTGTCACACACACACTGGGAAGTAAGATTCTGTTTTGCTCATGTGGTTTTGAACTTTAGTGTACATAACCTGTCTCAGATGAGCCCTGTTTCTTAGACAAATTTTTGACTGTTTCTTTTTTTACATTCTCACGTTAGAATCAGTATGAGGGGGTAGATGTTGTGTTTTCTTGAGGACAAGTAACTCTTCAAGTTTAGGAGAGTTGATGAGTGTCAATCTATGCATGTTCTTAGACACATAATTTGTCTCTTTGTACTTAGGTTTTAGGTCATTAGGTTAGGATTTTATGTTTATAGGTTAATTTGGTGACTTTTGGTGATTCGGGAATTTAATTGTAAAATTCGTAAAAATATGGAAAATTGGTGAAGTTCTAGGCACGATTAAAAACGGTTGATTGGACTGAAGTGCAAGGTCAAGGCTGAGGTCGAATTCAGCGGGAATTGAAGCTGTTGAAGGCCAAATTCAAGCAAACCTTCAAGGTTAAGCAAGGAGGGTAAGTGGATAAAGTGATGCCGTTGATAAGGGAAGAGGTTGATGTGCCTTAAAGCTGAATTAGAGTAATCAAATCTAAAGATGATTAGAGATAAAGGGGGAAGGTGAAGAAGTATGGGTCTCCTCTCTTTTGCTTAAACCCATCGGGTAAAAAGGACATCAACTCGGCTAAGAAAGATTACTCTCCCCCCCCCTCCCCCTCAACCTCTATCTAAATCAGCAGCAGAAGAAGAAAAAGACAACAAGAGTTAAGATAGTAGAAGTTAGAGTTAGCTTAGTTTTAGGTAGGAAAGAAATAGAGTACAAGTATGGAAAGCAGACTCACTGACTTTGTTCTTCCCCGGCTTTCGATCCTGTCTGTTGTAATTGTGAATCCCCGACCAAGCTAGCATGTCAAGCTAGCTGGTCCCTTGTCCCACACCGGCCAAAGAAGGGAAGGATGATCAGTATATAAGTCAGAAGCTAGGTCTACTAATTAACTTGGTTTAACCATTTTGGGTCTAGCGAGGATAATCACCCAAATAGTTATTGGGACAGACCTGGCAGATGGGGCGTTACAGTAATCATGTGGAAGCTTTTGTACTTTGATTTAGTTAGGGCTGCTAATTCGGTCGGTTTGACTCGGTTCGGCTAAATTCGATTCAGGTTAATCGATCTTTTTCATTTCACTTCACCACTCAAAACTGAACCGAAGATTATGTCTCGCCAAACCGAACCGACTGATTAAGCAATCGGATTTTCGGTTCGGTGCCCGATTCAACCGAAATCAGTACAAAATTTTCTACACATTCCTTTTTTGTGATCAATGATTCCAGCAGCCATCAGATCTTCATAGTTTCCTGTTGCAGCATTGTGTCCATATCTGGTATTGTCGCTTGAGACAACCTAACAGAAGCAAATTGGAAGCAACAAAGGGAACCATCAAAAGACTCTACTTTCGGATGGCACGGACATAAAAAACCAAGCAGGGAACCATCAAATTTTCCCATGTATCAATTAGTCTCACCTATTATGTTCGAATACCCCTCTTCACATTTCAAAGTCAACACCATCATCAGATTCCACAAAAAAATTTATATACACATATCTATAAATTTTATTTATGACAAAGTTGCAATCTTTTTCTTTCAAACCTACATCTCTTACTCATTGAATCCCAGAAAAAAAAAAAAATCACCTCCAAATCTGGATTCATCTCTGTAACAGCTTCTCTTCCTTTGTTCTTTTGTCCCCTCGATTCACCTTTAATTTGTGCCCCCTCGATTCTTACTCTTTGTTACATATCTCTAATCTTCTAATTGCTCGATAAAATATTAGATCTGGAAAGTGAATCATTTTTTTTGGAGGAGATGGTTGAATTGAATATTGATGGTGGAATTGGTGAATTGTGAAGGTGGGAGGTGAAGCCGGAGGTAGGAGTTGAAGCCATGGAGGTGAGAAGTGGAAGATGGGGGAACGGCGGCAAAGCTTATACCGCCGAGAAAAAAAAGGGAGCGAGAGCAGCTCTATTGTCAAGGCCGCCGGCTAGAAACTAGGAAGAAGGAAAATGGGTTGTAAAATAGTCAACCCTAATATATCTTATAAATATATATATATATTTAAAAATTTATTTATTTATTATTTCGGGTTAATCGGGCAGGCTCGAATAATATTTCTGAAAATCGAACCCACAACGTATAAGCTAATCGGTTAGTCAGGTGGAGCCAAAATTCTCCCGATTAAACTGATTAGCCGACCCGATTTGTCCGAATTCAGTTCGGGTCGGACAGTTGGTCGGGTTCAACCGAATAAAGAGCAGCCTTACTTTGATTCTTTTGTGTTTAAACTTTCCAGCATGTGTAGGTTAACTCATTTCTAGGGTCAAATCCCTCTATTTTATATAAGCGTGTTTTGATACAGCTCTCGAATGATATTTGTGTGTGTAGTATTAGAGTTTTTATTATCCATTTAGTTGAATTGGCCACTTAACAAAATGTACTTACATGTTAGGGGAGACCTGAGAGAGTAAACTTAACTTAAAATGTCTAAGATTAACCGGTGACAAGAGGGTAACATCCCAATGTTTCAAACAACAACGAGAGTTAGTTGTTTGGCACGAGGCAATCATAAGGGTGTAGGAACTAAGTGGCTTAGTAGTATTCTGCAGTCAACAACGAGAGTTAGTGAGCTTGTTGCTGTTAGGACTGTTGTTTGGAACAATCGAAAGTAACCTTAGAGAGTATTTGTGCCTGATTAAAACACAATTTTATACCACAAAGAGAGCAATTGAATCACAACATATGCATATAGAGTAGAGGAGGACGACCATAGGCTTCTATCACTTTGTCAAGTCATAAACTCACTTGTCCAAGTCTTAATTCTTTCCATACATTGCATAACTTGCATTTGATCCTAATTTTCATATGATATTTCCCATCTCTGTGAGATCGACCCTTCTTATCACTTTTTACAAGTTTTAAGTAGATCTATTTTGGTGGTCTCGACACCCATCACAAGCTAAAAACAATTAAATTAGTACTTTTCCGTTGAAATAATTGTCTAATTTTTATGCTATTTTTGTTAACAACAAGAAAAATGATCATTTTAAGATAGAGCGAGTTATATTTAGATTTCTCATTAACCTATGTACAAAAGGGAGGAAAAACTTATCTTCGTTATTCAGATTTTTTTTTTTGTTTAAAATGGTAAATTATTAACTTTCATATTTCGTCTCGAAATTTTTATACTTTATTTTCTTGATTTTTTTTATAACCTAGAAGTTAAAGAAAATGTAGGAGTGAATTATTTTTTGAAAATAGAAATGATGCTAGTATCATTATTTACCCTTATTGTCAAGCTCAGACCGGAGCTCTACTCGGTATGGCCAAGGGGTCAATCGAATCGGGGGTCGACTCGGAGCGAATCAGGGTCGACCCAGTGATAGCAATCCACGACAAAACCAATCTTTAAGGAAAGATCAACTTCGCTAAATCAGAAAGACAGATTTGTAGGCAGCGGAATTTGGAGAATTCGGATGTAAAGACACTAAAACACACAAAAACAAACAAAGAAAAGATATTTGATCTCACATGGATCAATTCACGAGTTCAATGGTAGAACAACCCAAATTAAGAATGAAGAGAGCTATTTCTAACCAAGCAGAGACCCCTTGGAAAATTGTGTAGGAAATCCCAATAGATAGGAGATCTATGAACTTAAATGTAGTAGTAATTAGACTATTAAGTGATTCATTCCTCCTCTTGCGTCTAGCACGAGTCATTGGTCCAACAATGTTTGAGAGTGAATCACGGATGTAAGGATTATTCTTTAAAGCAGTATCTTTAGATCATCCATTAGCATTCACGACCTCAACTTGCTCGTCCTCTCCATTATTGGCAGCAACATGTTCCTCTCCATTAGTGTTAGCTCGATGGTCCCCATCACCCAGATGACGTCATAATGATGTAACAAATATTAATTAATTAATAATTATATCTTAATTAAAATTTTATAAATTTTATATATATTTTTCAAATGTTGGAGTCAAATTTATACTTGATAATCTCCAAATAGGTCTCAATATAATCAAATTGAACTCATGAGGTCGATTAGGATGATGTCATTATTACTAACTCTATAATATTTAGTTATTTAATATATTTAAAATTAAAAAGAGTTAAAATTTATATCTCTCTTTGATTATATTAGTTGATATTCATATTTTTAAGTAGTTAATTGTTATTCAGATGAAGTAAATTAGTATATTAATAAAATAATCAAGATAGATAAAATATTATTTAGAAAAAATATTAAATCTGAAGCATAACTATTATACACATTACGAAAAAGTACTTCGAGATTAATTTTTGTGACATATTAGAGTTATAATATGAATTTTTCATAAAATGACCGAATTAAGTTTCTGTAACGAAACTAAAAAAAATAATTATACAAAATATCATATTTGAAAATTGAAATTGAATATGAGAACTTAAAATCAAATTAATATTTCAAAAAGTACAAAAAATTTAAAGTTGTTGGGCAATCTTGAGCAAAAGAAAAAAAAATGGCCCTGGAAGACATTGAAAATTGAAATCCATGGAATAGAGTGCAATTTTTGGGTCAAAAGTCAAAAAAAAAATAATTAAAACTCGGTTCGACCCGATTTTACTCGATTTCCTGTTCGACCGGGATTCTGACCGAGTTTGACCGGTCTCCTTTTTGGGGATTTAAGCCTTGCTCGGCTCGGTATGATAGCCGATTCCCGGTTTAACCGATTCAACAGGCCTGTTCGAGCCAAACATGACAATACTGGCATTTACAAGCCAATATGAAAAATGGTTAAAATTAAAAAAATACAAAAATTATATAAAAAAATTACCCTTGGATCCAAGTCACATGCAATGCATGCGAAAAATAGCACACTGTTACGGTTCAACAATGAAAATTAATAGCATGACCTGGATAGATTTTTTTTTATTTTTTATTTTTAGTATGAGCACATGTAGTGGGAATAAAATAACACTCCTTCTATTCCAAAAAAATAGTTCACATTGAATTTTGAATTTTTTTACTGTTTTTAATACAAATTTACAAACTCGATGTGAACTATTTTTTTGGGACAGAGGTAGTATAAATATTAGCAATGAACCAATCTTATGATATAGGAATCTGAAATATGGTTCACTCTATTTAGTGTCAAGTTACTTGATAATTAATTAGATTCAGACATGTATATAATTGTCAACCTTAAATAATTGTGACATTAAATTATTTGATTTAAGGTAATAATTATAGGGACATTCTTATTTGAGATTTATGATACACGTAACTTTGATAGTAAATTTCGTTATTTGTATTTTTACTAGAATAATTTACATTGTGTAAGCTTGTTTGCATGTCCACTCATTTTACATTTTAACTCATTTTACCTCTTAAACACAAAACCCAATGGAAAAGAAAACATCATCCAAACAAGTTTCTGATTTACATTTTAAATTCCAACTTGAAACACTTTTTGTTAGTGTAATGACCATTTTAGAACTACAAATAGTTCAATGACAAATTTGGCAGGATTCCGTTGTTGAGTGATTGTTTTTGGAAAAATTCTTTTTTGCAGTGACTATAACTGACAGTATTTAATTGTTTAGTGATGACTCGTACTTGATATTTTCAAAATGTGGTTCAAAATATTTTTTTCAAAACCAACATCCAAACAACTTTTGCTCAAAATACCATCCAAACAACATTTTCATTTCTCATTTAGTTTTCAACTTGAAATACTTTCCACTTTTAAGTGGCAAAATGAAATGTAAGATGACGTCCAAACAAGCACTTAAACGCGTAAAAATAATTGTTTACTTTTACCTTTACTGGCCAAATGTCGGTAAGCGACCCAATGCAATTTGATTGTAATTCAACATCATAAGTAGAAAGTTTATATTCTTCGGTCATTGATCAACAACTTGCTGGACAATACGTAATTTGTTGTGTGTTTGCATATTGCTTGGGTAGAGTTTAGTTGCCCCATTTTATTATAGTTAAAAAGAAATATTTTGTTAGTATTCGTTTCCCGTTAGTGTTATGGTGTTTATATACTTTTGGTCACAATAATTTCTTCCTACTGAAGAAATATGTAATATATGTTTGATTAATTTGTGAAGCGATAGGGCAATTAAAGGGATAGAAATAATCAAAATGCAAAAATTAAAAGTAGAAAAAGATAGTAGCTAGCTAGATAATAGGAGAAGAGTGGTGCACATTTCAAAAGCATAATAAATTAGAAAATATAAGAGAGGGGATTGATGGAACATTTGAATCCTTAAATCAACTCAGAAGAAGTCTATCAGTGTGTCATCTTTGTTGGAGGAGTAGGAAAGATGTCTTCTGCTGCTCTCATTGCTACCGGTGCCGGAGAGAGTACCGGAAAACATAATCGGAGATACTCCGCCACTGCTGCCGCCGCCGCCACCTGCAGTGTTATTCCTCCTGGATTTAGCCACGGTTCGAACACTCTCAATCAACTCCTGCGTCCGAGCCTCCTGTGACAAAATCTCCAGCAACTGTTCTGGACTAATAACCAACTTCACTTTCCAAAACCCATTGCTACTACCACATTTATTCTTACTTGCACTTCTGGCGCGTGGAGAGAATTCCTGCGTTTGTGATCTCTTCCAAATTCCCCGGCTATCGAACGACATCCTGTACGGCGCGTGATGATGACGATGATCAACAACTTGAGATTCAGAAACTGGACTGGCAGTACTGTTTGACCTAGAATGTCCACCAATAGCTTTAGGACACGTAGCAATATTACGGCCATTTTTGTCACCGTAACCAAGAGGGAGAAGATAGTAAGACTCTCCGGCTTCAAGTAACTGATTCCGAGGCAAAGGCTGCTTGTAATAATAATACCAACAGCTGACCATCATCAACAGATTTTCTTGGTCGGAATTCCGGCTCGGGAAGATTCCGTGGCCGGGGAATTCGTCGGTGATGAATTCCACGGTGATTGGGGAAGTGAACTCCATGATCCCACCGTTTGTGGTTACCACTTTGATAACCGCCGCGCCGTTGCCGTTGCCGTCGCAGCCATCATCTCCGATGGCGGTTACGTCTACGGGTCCTAATGCTCCTCCAAACAAGCAATTCCCCATTTCAAATTCATAAATGTGGAAGATGGATGTAATTGGGTTATTCTCCAAATCAATGCACATACATATAAATACTACTATAAAATATGGAAAGAAGATGATGTCGTATAAAGCAGACGGACGGATTGATTTTGAGTGGAGTGCTACCATTAATGTTCTTTACTTAGAGCTTTACTTGCTTTTGAATTCTTTTTCCCTTTTTCTTTACCTGATGCCCCCAGCTTCAGCCAAAAGTTAGAAAAAGCAGAAAATTAAGAACATCGATCTCTCGCTTAATACAAATTTCCCGCCATGCAACATTCTACGTGGTAGATATTTAAAGCATTCTCATCACCATTCTCCATTCTGTCCTTTTTAGTAGTAGTTCATTTTATTGAAATCATAACATTGTCGGATTGATGAAGTAGTATACTATCAAAATGAGATAGAATAAGTCTCCATAAAAAATGGTAAGAACAAAATCCAAAAACAAAAAAAAAAAAAAAAGACAAGTTTTATTATACGCATGCAACAAGGGACCAATTGATTCCACTGAACCGTTGGCTAAAATTTAGATTCATTCGCCAGGATTTTAGATTTTTCTGGTTCTTTTCCTCTATTATGCTTAATAATGTTTTATAATGTGGTGTCTTCAATTAAGAAAGTAAGATGTACTCCAAAAGAAAAAGAAAATTTTATTATGTGCAGCTGATATGTTTAAAAATTAAACTTAATTCGAACATATATGCTTTCCATATTTATATATGTGAATAAAAACTTATACTATGTTCTGAGAAAACCAGAAATGAATAAAGTATATATATAGGTAGGGGACTAATATTTGGGAGAGAAGAGCGAGCGCGGGTAACCAATTTGCGACTAGCTTTTCTTTTCTTCTTTTATTTATTTATTTTTTTTGGTAAACAATCTTTTCTTCTTTTGAATATATATGCTTTTGTGCTTCTGGTGGACCAACCACACTGACTTTTTATTTTTCTTTTTTCTATTAAAAAAATCAGTATTACTTTCTTTTTATGTATATTGGAGTAATAATTATTATATTGTTATATTATCGAAACCCATATGATATAACGCTAAAAGAAAATCAAGACGAAAAAGAACTCTAATTTATGAATATGTCTTAACTAAATTAAGGGTGACAATTTTAATTTCTCAACTCAGCATTTTCATCTCAACTCAGCATTCACATCTTAACTCAACATTCACAATATTGCATTTTGAAATTTTTATTATTTGTAGTACTAGTCACAAATTATAAGGTGGATTATTATTATTATTATTATTATTATTTGCGGAAGGAGTAGTTATGCAGCAATAACCATACGCAAATATAAAACCCTTATATATAGTGATGAAATATCAAGCATCAGCAGCCATCCACGTCAGCAAGTGGTCCTTCATGTAAGTAGAAGAAGACACAGCTTCCTTTTGACTTCAAAGGTGATTCAGTTGATGATCTCCATGATCAGGTAGACCGCGTTGCACATGATTAATGCCAGCTGCTTCCAGATCATTCCAGCAGATTCACAGAAGGTGTAAGTGGATCAATACCGCATACGGGACTTGGCAAAAGTCACCATGTGGTGATATAAATTTGTATAGACTGTTAGATTAGATAAATGTACAGCCATGTTAGATTAGTTTTACTCTTCCCCCTCCTTATATGTTTATAAATAGGGACATACTGTACAGATTGACATGATGAGTTAATACATAATCAATACAAAATTTTCCCTATTTTCTGCTTTGAATGCTAGCTATCTAGGGTTTGATCTTCATGATCTTTCCTGTATTTCTTCATGATTCGAAGTAGATATTTCCTTTTCTAGATGGTACTAGAGCTCTGATGGAGTAATCCTGGGATCCAAATTTTGATTCTTACGATTTTAATCTTGCATTTCTTCAGCTTCCACATCTTTAATTCTTGATTTATTGAATGGCAATACTTGGTGAACAAGAAATGGCAGCAGAAGAGCTTGAAGAGCAGCTACTTCTCCATGGATCTGATCTCCCGGGGATGAAGATCTTTTCTACTCCGCTGACTGATGTTAATTACCTGATCTAGAGGACCGCCATGGAAACTTCTTTGGAGGCGAAAAGTAAGCTTGGATTCGTTGATGGCAGTTGTCCAGCTCCTGTAAGTACATCTCCTCTCTTCTGTAAGTGGAAAAAGGTAAATAGCATGGTAGCGTCTTGGATCTTGAGTTCAATTTCAGAAGATCTTGTCAATCAGTTCATGTATATCAGCAATGCTAAGGATCTATGGCATGAAATTGAAGAACGATATGGATCTACTAATCTGTCCTTGCTATTTCAAATTAAGAGAGAAAGTGCCTTGATTAGACAGGATAATTTGTCTGTTACTCAGTACTATGGGAAACTTAAACAATTGAGAGACCAATTAAGTCAAATCAGGCCGAAATTGCATTATGAAGGTGCTGTTCAGAGTCTCTTAACTGCTGATAAGTCATCACTGTACGTTTTAGGTGTTAAAGAAGCATTGAGTGTTGTCATGAAGGTACTTGATGATAGAATTACTGAGGATAAGACTATGGAGTATCTGTTGGGGATTAGTGAGGTATTTGAAGCAAAGAAGAATCAGATACTGCTGATGGATCCTTTACCAAATGTGAATAAGGTGTACTCTATCCTTGTCAAAGCTGAAAAGAATCGACAAGTTAGTGTCAACATTGCTGAGAATGCTGCAAAGAGTGTGAAGACAGGATCAAGCTCTTGGAAGAAAGACACTGGAAATAAGACTGTGTTCAAAGTGGATAAGGCAGATAAGAGTCAGTTGTTTTGTGTTTATTCTAAGAGGACTGGACACCTGAAAGACAACTGCTTCAATTTAATTGGTTATCCAGAAACTCCCATTTGTTCTTACTGCAACAGGACAGGACATATCAAAGAGAAATGCTTCAAGATCATTGGATATCCTGAGTCTGAAAAGATGAAACAGTCTAATCCATCTGTTATTAATGCAGTTGAAATACCTTTGGATGCAGTAGAACCACAAGAAGCAAGCTGGAATGAGGCCATAGCTGCTGTAGTTCAAAGGGAGTTGGGAAGACTAATCAAAGGGAAAATGCCAATGGAGTCAGCCAATTCAGTGGATTTTGCTCACACTCAGGACTTTGCAGGTAGCACTATCCTTCCTAGATTACTTTCTAAACCTGATAATGTATGTACTAGAGTTTGGTTCACGGATACAGGAGCAACTGATCATATAAATGCATTTCTTGATATGCTTGTTAACCCATATCCTATTAAACAATTCACTCCTGTATGTTTGCCTAATGGTAACATTCAATCAGTCACACATATAGGTGATGCTATTCTATCTTCATCAGTTACTCTCAAATCTTGCTTACAATTGCCAACCTTTAAATATAATCTATTTTCAGTTCAAAAATTAGCTAAAGATTCACATCTTTTCTTTCAATTCTTTGATGATTTTTGCTTTTTGTTGGACCTTCAAACTTTTAAAGTCCTTGCAGCAGGTAGAATCATCAGAGGTCTCTATGCCATAGATCACTCTTCTTTCACTGATCAAGCCATCCAACACTCACAACATCTCTATGCTTCACATGTTCTTAGAACCAGAAGATATAATGTAGCTATTTCAAATAATGGCAATCTTAGTGCTTTGTCAGTACAGCATGTTGACTGCTGGCACTATAGATTAGGACACCCTTCTCTTTTTGTAATGAGATAATTGCCTAGAAACATAGCCAGCATTGATACATTCAGTGATGAAACTCAATGTGAACTTTGCACTTTAGCCAATTGAGTTCTATTAAAACTAATAAAGTTTTTGCTTTACTCCACATTGATGTCTGGGGGCCGTATAAACATGCTTCTATCAATGGATGTCATTATTTTCTCACTATTGTGGATGAATTTAGCCATTGTACATGGACTTTCTTGTTCAAATATAAAACACAAGTCCTATTTCTTTTACAAAATTTCTTAGCATATGTTAAAACACAGTTTCATACCATTGTTCAGATCATTCGTACTGACAATGGATCTGAGTTTTTAAGCTCTCAATGTCAATCTCTATTTGCTGATCATAGCATTATTCATCAAACTACTTGTCCCTATACACCTCAGCAGAATGATGTAGATGAGCGTAAACATCACCACCTTCTGCAAGTTGCAAGATCTCTTTTGCTTCAAGCTAAACTTCCAAAACACTTCTGGGGGGAATCCATCCTTGCAGCCACTCATTTGATCAATTTGCTTCCTTCTGCCATTTTGAAATGGAAAACACCTTTTGAAATCTTATATCATAAGAAACCTTCATATGATCACCTTAGAATTTTTGGATGTCTTGCATTTGCAGTTGATACTAGTCCTTCTCGCAAATAATGCTAGATCACATAGAGGAATCTTTGTTGGTTACCCTAATCATCAGAAAAGTTACAAAATCTATATTCCCAGCCTTCATAAAATCATAGTTTCAAGAGATGTTCATTTTTATGAAAACATCTTTCCTTCTTGCTCCAATACTCAGGACATGGTAGTTTCACCTCAAGTTACATTAGATTTGTTGCCTAATATGTCTAATTCAACATCAAAATCATCTCCTGTAATTAATGTTCCTCATCTTACTGAAACTAATTCTCCTCCTTCTTCTCATTTTCATGATGCAAACTCTCCTTCTTCTTCCAATTCTCATGATCATCATGATCCTTCTTCTTCACCAATCCATCCTCCACCAGTATTTGTTCCTAGAAGAAGTACTAGACACAGACAACCTCCAATGATCCTCAAAGACTTTGAACTAAGAAATGCTTGTTTCAGCTCTACTGCTATCCAATCTTCTTCATCACCTTCACTTGCTTATTGCACTTTCACACCTACGCATCCATTCTTTTTGGCCAATCTCTCCACTGTACGTGAACCTAACTCTTATAATCAGGCTAGAAGTAATCATCCGTGGATAGATGCTATGTCTCAGGAACTCCAAGCTCTAGAAAACAATGAGACTTGGGAGTTAACTACTCTACCTAAAGGGAAGAAAGCAGTGGGGTGTAAATGGATTTATAAAGTGAAATATCTTCTAGATGGGACCATTGATCGCTACAAAGCAAGGTTAGTAGCAAAGGGTTTCACTTAGATTGAGGGAGAAGATTTTACTGAAGTCTTCTCTCTAGTAGCAAAGGTAGTAATAGAAGGATACTCATTGCTGTTGTTGTTAATAGAGGGTGGATTTTGCATCAGTTGGATGTTAATAACACCTTTTTACATGGTTTCTTAACTGAGGAAGTTTACATTATACCTCCTCCTGGATATACTAAGGCTAAACCTGGACAAGTCTGTCATCTAAAGAAGTCTTTATATGGCCTTAAACAAGCTTCAAGGGAGTGGAATAAAGAGTTCACCTCTAAATTGCTCGGTTTTGGATTCAGACAATCCTATCATGATCATTGTCTTTTCATTTATGATCAGAATGGTCATCAAGTGTTTCTATTGGTTTATGTTAATGATGCGATTCTCACTGGTTCACATAAAGATCTTATTCTTCAAGTCAAGTCCTTCCTGGATCATGCTTTTTCTATCAAAGACATGGGTATAGCAAACTATTTTCTTGGCATGGAACTGGCCAGATCTGATCAAGGTATCTTCCTTTCTCAAAGGAAGTATATCACTGATATTCTCACTGATACATACATGCTCGAATGTCATCCTGTTAGCACCCCCTTCCCTAGCAATCTTATTTTTACAGCTGTTGAAATGAAACTTCAGTGCTGCCAGATCCAGCTAAGTACAGAAGACTTGTTGGTCGTTTGCTATACCTAAATTTCACGTGTCCTTATCTTACTCATTCAGTCCAACAACTTAGTCAATTCGTGCAAACTCCACGAGTCACATTGGCAAGCTGCTCAACATGTCTTGAAATATCTTTCAGGTATTGTTCATCAAGGGTTGTTTTATCCAACATCAACTTCCCTTGATCCTGTCAATTACTCAGATGCTGACTGGGGTGCTTGTAAGACTACTCGTCAACCCTTGACTGGATATTGTATCTTCCTGGGGAAATGTTTGGTCTCCTGGAAAACTAAGAAACAAACTATTGTTTCTTCTTCTATAGCTGAATCAGAATACAAATCTCTTGCCTTCACAACTCATGAATTGAAGTGGATTACATATATTTTACGAGACTTCAAGATTTCTTATCATCAGCCTATTCCTTTATATTGTGACAACAAGGCAACAATTCACATCATTGAAAATCCGGTTTACCATGAGCGGACTAAACACATTGATATGGATTTCCACATTGTACGTGACTTATACAAAGCTAAGTTTCTTCTTCCTCTTGACATTCTAACTTCTCAGCAGTTGGCAGATATTTTACCAAGCCTCTTCCATCCTCCATCTTTCATTATTTACTCTCCAAGCTGAGCTTCATGCACGCTCACCTTGAGGGGGGGGGGCGGGGTGATTAAATATCAACAGCATCAGCAGCCATCCACGTTAGCAAGTGGTCCTTCATGTAAGCAGAAGAAGACACAGCTTACTTTTGACTTCAAAGGTGATTCAGCTGATGATCTCCATGATCAGGTGGACTGCGCAACACATGATCAACGCCAGCTACTTCCAGATCATTCCAGCAGATTCACAAAAGATGCAAGTGGATCAATACCGCATACGGGACTTAGCTAAAGTCACCATGTGGTGATGTAAATTTGTATTGATTGTTAGATTAGATAAATGTACAGCCATGTTAGATTAGTTTTACGCTTCCACCACCTTATATGTTTATAAATAGGGACATATTGTACAGATTGAGATGATGAGTTAATACAGAATCAATACAAAATTTTCCCTATTTTATGCTTTGAATGCTAGCTATATAGGGTTTGATCTTCATGATCTTTCCTGCATTTCTTCATGATTCTAAGTAGATATTTACTTTTGTAGATAGTATTATCAGTCATATCACCTAACCTTCATTTTGAATGTGAGTCCAGCCGAACAACTCTTTCGGAACTCAATGTTGTTAGAATCATCCGAACTCGGAAGTTTGTAGTTGTGCCTTTGTTCGGCTAGTTTTCGGCAAATCGGGCCGACGAGAGTCATGAGTCATGGCCTAGGAGTTTTGGTGGACTTATATGATAGTGACTGAGACTTTAAGGCCCTAAAATAGCCCAAAAGAGGGCATGGTACGTTTGGAAGCAATATGGGCTGGTTGAGTGTGAACAGATTTAGAATTGGAAAAGGAAAGTAGAAGCCGAGTGGGAATAGAATTGCTCCAAAATCGGTTGCGTGATTAATTGACAAATAAGAGAGATTCCTCCTTATTTATTGCTCCTTTTAATAAGAGAAATTAGCAGTAATTAAAGAGATATATTTGGAAAAGAATTCTACTACCAAATTAAGAGTTAATTGTGAGAAAAGTCATCAACCGATTAGGAGACTGCTGCGAGAATAGTATCCTATTTTCAAGGAAATTGACCATGTTAAGCTACCTTTTCTTCAAGGAATCATAGGGCAGCAAGGGTTTCATCCAAGCACTATAAATAGAGGCAGCCATGAAGAGAAAATTATCACCAATCAACCATAAAACTGGTTTTCTTTCTTTCTTGTACCGTTTATCATGTTTTTACCTTTCTTATGGTAGTTCACCACGTTCTATCATGTTTTCTTAGCCCCTAGATTAGCAATAGAGTTGTTTGCTTTTTTCTCCTACACAGAATTAGGTAGGTGTTCACCGTTTTCTCCTCCAACGAATTTGGTTATGCTCTAATAGGTGTTCTAGCACTTATATATGCCGGATTACCCTCTGCACGTTCGTCATGTCCCTGTCTTCTGTGTCATAGCGTATCATCGACAAGCTCTAGTCGGCACTAATATCTTTGTTTTTCTCAGTAATAGCGTGTCAACGGCACCATCAATAGCTTGCCGGCGCGAGGGTTTTCCACTTTATGAGTCAGTTTCTTCGGCTTTTTCCTACTTTCTTTAAGTTCCTACCCGTCTTTCTCAAACTAAAGCCAATAACCTTAAATCCTCGATCCTGGTCCGAGACCGGATGGAACTCAACCACAATCGTCTGATTTAATTGTGTTTTGGGTGATTTCTGTTCCTTTTTTTTCTCACGGTTTCGTGTGCACAATTTTCACGCAAACATAATTTGGCACGCCCGGTGGGACCAGCTTTAGTTTGATTTGTAAATCGTGGAAGTCTGTCATCATACCACGAAGTTCTCTTTGTCATAAAAATCCGAAAAAGAGTCTTTTCCTTTTCCCTGATCATGGCGTATCTAAATACCCAATATTATGCCTTTGACACTCATGGAGGTCCGGTCTATACCATTATTCCATGTAGTCAGTCGCCTGAAAATTCTAGCCTTACATACACATCTCCCAACATCCAATATAGCTCATACTACTTGGCGGGCAAATATCTCAACAACCTCTATCCACACAACCCCATATACAATATAACTCATCACCACTTGGTGGGCAGATTTCCAACAGCTTACATCGGCACAACCTTGCTCTAGGGTTACAGATCAACAACTGGAGCAGCAGATTGAGTGTCATGGCTACAGTTTGTGCCAGAATAGTGCTGATTACCAGAAAGATGTAAATCTAGTTAATGTACCGATTCTGAATGCTTATGCCGATTACAACTCTCAAGCAACCAATTATAGAGCTATATGCCATTTTATCCAATCAGGTGATCAATATGACGTAGATCGTCAATCCGGCAGCACCAATGAACGAGATCAAAGTCCGACAATGCAAAAACCTTCAAGTCTCAAGGGGCAAGCCATTTTTAGCAATCGGTTGCATCAATTTGGTTGTTATGATTGGCTCGATGGTGTTAAGAGCAATGCACAAGTTCTATTCGAAGATAGTGGACAACAATCTACAGCTTTTGATCGTGAGCCCCAACAGTTTCAGCCGCCGACGGGGACCTTTCAACAGCTGTTGTTGCAGTCACAACAGAGTCAGCTATCACCGATGCATATCCAGCAGTCCTGTTCACGGCCAGTAGAGTTTCAGCAAGCCGATCGGTGGACAACACAATCTGTGCAGTTGAATCGGCACAGTCCCATCGGCCGCCAATAGAGTCTTATGAGATTCAGCTATCATCGACATCAGTACAGCAGGTTTGCTTACAACCGATTCAGCATAAGAATAATGATTCAACAACAGAGCATATCCAACAGACACAATTACAACATCGGCAAACAACATCTACATCGGCATATGTCCACCAGCCATATTCGTTGCCGATGGAGTATCAGGATATTCAGTTGCCATCCGGACTGATCCAACGGGTTTGGTCACAATCGAAGCAGCCTCAGCAAACTGATCAATCAGTTATGCTATTACAGTCCCAGCAGCTAACACAATATCTAGAATTAGTTCAGCAGCAATCCACGGCAAAGCTCCAACCATCTTATTCATTACCGATGGAGTCTCAATCAATTCATGAGATGTCACGGTCAGTCCAGTGTAAGACATAGTTGCAACTTCAGCAATTAATAGAGTCCACAGAGGTTCGCTTATCATTGGCACCAACTCAGTCATCACCAACATGGTCTTCGTCTATAGAGCAGTCACAGTCATCATCAGTGGAGTCTCGACCTACTGATCAGATAGCAATGCAATTGAATGAGATGCCATTACATCCATTGTTGCAGGCACAACAGCCATTGGTTCGACTTCAGTAGATTCAGCCATCTCCAGTGCAATCCAAGTGAACCGGTCCATTTGTAGCACCGATCCAACAACCACTGGAACAATCTCAACAAGAGCAGCAATCGGTTACACAAATTCAGCAAATGCAACCACTATCATTGGTAAAGTCAGAATGGATACGGTAATTACGGGCGTTGCTCGAAGAGTTGCAATCGCCATCAAGAGTGTCTCGGCGAGTGTAACAATTGGCAGTGAGAAACCAGTCATCCTTAGTACATTATCAGCCGATCTCACGATTGTTGGATCAAAAACTTCAACAAGAACCGACACAATTGCAAGGATTGGTGGAGTTGCCTTTGCCGAATCTCCAGGGTTCTAATTTCTTATTGATGGCACAAGACCAGCTATCGGTGCCGATAAAGCAATTACAAAAGCTACAGGAGCACTCATCAGATCATGAAGTTCATTTTATGTCAGGGTTAATAGAAAGCCAATTGCTGATGGAGCAAATACAGGCTAAGGAGTTGCACTCGTCATCAGAACCAGTTCAACATGGTCAACGGCGTTCCATGAGTGGATAATGTCATTTGATATGAAGACGGTACCATTTAATGAGTTCCAAGGGCGATGTTACAGTTTCAGAGACAGATGGTGCGAAACAACGAGTTAGATCAGCAACTAGTGCCAAATAGATCTTTTCAGAGTATGTATCAGTCAGAGCAAGGTCAATTGCAAGAATAACTTTCGCTGATTTATGTTCTGATACCATCAATGTAGAATCAGTCATAAGCATCGATAGAGAAGAATGGGTGTCCGACATTCTCAGTGCATGAACGGTTGTTTCAGCATTTACTGGTGCAGCACCAACAGTATACGGATTTTAGACAGGTCCACATGAATGGTGATTCCACAGCTGGGCAGTATGTTCCAGAAAAATGGCTAGCTAACAAGAAACAGATCTGTGTAGGTACAAATTATTGTGATGCCAGTCAGAGTGGCGATGGGTTCCAAAGAATTCATGATCGGGATCGGCAATCGAGAATGTTTTTACTGACTGATAAAGAGCCGACTAATTCAGATGGCTGCTATTCTCAAGAAGTTTCTTTGATGTCGGGTGGGGGAGGGGGGGAGCAAGTTGCTGATGATATATCTTGCGTATTGGATGGTCATGACTTACAGTTTGAGCGAACCGTTGAACAATCAACAATCTACAATGATACACATCAACTTGATGTTGTTTGTTCCACGAATCCTTACACGCTCAGTCCAGAAGGTATGGATACTTGTCAATATCATGTTGATTCAAGTTTTCGGTTCGGTCATGTAATTGTTAATAGAGGTGGTAAAGGCCAACTTGCAAGATACCCATCATCCGTGTTTAATATAAGTAGGTTGGTCGAGGTTGATGATAACCGAAGTCAGTTTCATACGTCCATGGTGAACATAGAAGAAAAGTTTGATGGTTTGAATAAAGACATGGAGGCTTTTATGAGGAAATTTGATAGTATGGTGCAATACGTGTCCCAAGTTCCAATGGTGGAGATAGCAATTGAATCTTTATGTTTTGATGATTCCATAGATGTTAATGGATTTCAAGAGTTTGTTGACCTACAAAGCGGATATGTCAAGTCTACAAGCAGTGAGGAGATAGACGAGGAAATTGGTTGCAGAATCGGTATAATGCAAAACCTCAAAATCATGGTGATAACAGCTTTACAAACAGCAGAATTATGGATCATCAAGGTCAAAGCCTTTCGACGATACTCAAGATCAATGTAGTTGAAACAAGTGAAACGAAGCTGTCACCAATTGAAGATGGTTTGAAAGATGTGGATATGATTTTCAATGATCATGGTCACGTTCGGCATTCTGGCCCTTCCGATCAGGTTTCAGGTTCCTCACCATTGGAGCACGAAGAACAATATCGCTTGAATTCAGCCGGGGTTGATTTCGCTACTACGTGTAAGATGAAGTTATCATCAATTGAAGGTAGCTTAAGGAATGTGTTTCAAGATCAAAAGAACGAGTCTTTTGATGATAACCGTGTTCGGCAGTCTGAGTTTATAACCGACATAGGTTCAGATGTTCCAAATCTCAGTCACCAAGAACAAGGCCGATTGATAATGCTTGATAGTGATGATACTAAAGACAATTCACCGAAAGCTAATGAAATGTCAAAGGGGACTATTTCCAATGGTCGGCCGTATGGGGAGCCGCCACATCAGCTTCTATTTCCTTATAGTTTAGTCGGAAAAATAGAAGCATACTAACGACACTCAGTGTTGATCAAGCCAAAGCAAGCACGACCACATCATTGGTGGCTGGTGAAGTATCCACAAAATTGATTTGCAATGATAGTAATCAAGCTCGACAGCTTGATTCGTCGACCGCTTCTATTTCTCTTGAGCAAATAGATCAAGACCATTTGAAGACACAACAGGAGGAATAGGCTAATCTGGGCAAGATCAAGTTGTCAGAAGTAGAGAGTGTCCCAAAAAAGGTGGTTGGTGGTAATAAAATCCAAGTTCAACATATCGATTCTGGTGGCGATCGAGTTAAACAAACGGTTGTTCCTTCGCGAACCAAAAGATACTCCAATCATGCATGGATTTACGACAAGAGAGGCTCCATGAGGTCCAGCAACAAAAGGCGTAAAGGTAAGTCCATGCAACATTGTTTTTGTCACGCCGATAAAGCCAAGTCTTCAACTCTTTTTCTGGGGTTGATTCTCTATGTGTTGATGCTGAATCCAATGAGAATCAGGAGGAGAAATACATTGCTTGACTGGATTATGGTGCTGCTGTAGAATGGAAGTTTGAGTTGACCGCTGATCAGAGGATCCTGAAATCATTAGCTGTTCAAGGGAAAAGGCATTGCACTCGAGCTTATGCCAAACTTTTTGGGTCTACACCAAAGAGGATTAGAGCATTTCATGTTTAAAATATAGTGTCCAAAGAGGATGCTGATATGAAGCTGGAGGTTAATGAGAATAGAGAGTGCAATGACGATAATCGGTTGAAAAAATATGAAGCAGAGATAGTGGTCATTAAGCCGATTGAAGAACGACAGGTTGAGTCACAGTTAAAAGATGAGGATAGGCACCTGGTTTACACCTCATTAAGTGAAACAAATGTGAAATCGTCAACCAACAAAAAAGAGAGCCGCAAGCAGATCATTTCTGATACAGTTTGTGGTCTTGCCATCTCCAACCCGATTTTCATACGGTTCGGCAGTCAGCCTGAGGTAAGATGCGACCAGCCGATTACTTTTCCATTGACTTTTCATAATCAAGACAAGAAAGGCAGTAAGAAGAATGATTCGAGTACAGTTAGTAGTACTACCGTGGCAAATCCAGTTCTTAAACGATTTGGCAGCCAGCTTCAGGTTCCGCATAACAAGCTTGGTTTTCTCGAATAATTCTCAAGGTCAGTCCTTGTCAACAATCACAAAGGAGGTCAAAAATGAAGGTGTCGTTTCTGGTGTTAAGGTTCAAGACACCGAGAAGCAAAAGGTAAACAATGCTTCTAGTTCTCCTACTCCAGATGGCCGGTTCAGTCTTAAATTGAGCCTCACTATTAACATGGCTCAAGAACAGAAGAATCATAGAATTTATCCGTGAGGGCAAAGATCACAAGAGTCTAAGTCTAGTTCCAGAACTGATAGTGGCTTTAAGAGAAAGTTTCAGCTGTCGCAAAGAAGTAAGCATGCTTCAATTTGTATTATTCACATTATGCGTGGGTACCATATTATGCTATGTATCCGGTGGGATGGTGTTATGTGGATCTAAGGGCCATGTGGAATGCGTCCGGCTGGTGGTAGCAGAGTGCTTATCAACGTTCATATCAAAGTCATATTTAATATGAACGTTCAGGGGGTATTATGTTCGGCCAGTTTTTGGAAAATCGGGCCGACGAGAGACATGAGTCATGGCCCAGGAGTTTTGGTAGATTTATATGATAGTGACTGAGATTTTAAAACCCTAAAATAGCTCAAAAGAGGGCATGGTACGTTTGGAAGCAATATGGGTTAGTTGAGTATAAACAGATTCAGAATTGGAAAAGGAAAGTAGAAGCTGAGTGGGAATAAAATTGCTCCAAAATCGGTTGCGTGATTAATTGACAAATAAGGTAGATTCCTCCTTATTTATTGCTCCTTTTAATAATAAAAATTACCAGTAATTAAAGAGATATATTTGGGAAAGGATTCTATTACCAAATTAAGAGCTAATTGTGAGAAAAGTCATCAACCGATTGGGAGACTGATGCGGGAATAGTATCCTATTTTCAAGAAAATTGACCATGTTAAGCTACCTTTTCTCCAAGGAATCATAGAGCAGCAAGGGTTTCATCCAAGCACTACAAATAGAGGCAGCCATGAAGAGAAAATTATCATCGATCAACCATAAAACTGGTTTTCTTTCTTTCTTATACCGTTTATCATGTTTTTACCTTTCTTATGGTAGTTCACCACATTCTATCATGCTTGCTTAGCCCCTAACTTAGCAATAGATTTGTTTGACTTTTTCTCCTACATAGAATTAGGTAGGTGTTTACCGTTTTCTCCTCCAACGAATTCAGTTATGCTGTAATAGGTGTTCTAACACTTATGTATGTCGGATTACCCTCAGCAAGTCCGTCTTGTCTCTGTCTTCTGTGTCATAGCGTGTCATCGACAAGGTCCAGTCGGCGCTAATATCTTTGTTTTTCTATGTAATAGCGTGTCAACGGCACCATCTATAGCTTGCCGGCGCTAGGATTTTTCACTTTATGAGTCAAACGCCGTCTCTTCGGCTTTTTTCCACTTTCTCTAAGTTTTTACCCTTTCTTTCTCAAACTAAATTCAATAACCCTAAGTTCTCATTCCTGGTCCAAGGCCGGTATGAAGTCAACCACAATCGTCTGATTTAATTGTGTTTTGAGTGATTTTTGTTCCCCTTTTTCTCACGGTTTCGAGTGCACAATTTTCATGGAAACAGCCTTATTTGTGAAAGAAAAGAAGGTGTAGACCAATGTTCAATGCCCAGAAATGAACATGAACAGTTGATGGTACGACATAGGATCGATGCATATGGATTATATTCCATTTACTTGTTGATCTAAGGGCATATCCAACGCCAGCACCAAACAACCAATTTTGGTGATTTGGTGACTCAATTTTTTATTATTATTCAAATGTAGTTAGCTTGTGATTTTATAAAACAACCCCTGTAAATTAAAATAATTTCTAAATGATAACTGTTATGTATAAATGTTAAACTTATTAAATTCATGATATTTTATGTGTAATATTAAATATTAAATATCAGTGCTTCATAATAATTGAATTTTAATTATGACCGTTCAAAAAAATAATTGATATAACTAGAAATGTACATATGATATTATAGTAAAACAAAATAATAACATAAACACATTAATGATAATTAACAAAAAAACACATAAATTGATATTAAGAACAAAAAATACAAATGAATACAATAAAAAAGTTACAGGCAAAAACTTTGATACTAACTAAACAAAACTACTAATAATAATTTGGGAGGTCAATTCCATCTCCATGAATAAGGAAAAAATTGGATTATCTTTTTGTAATTTGATAAATTTAATTTTTTTAAAAAAATAAAGGAGGATAAAGAAGAATATGGGCTCTGGGAAGTATTACTTTTGTTGTCTGAAATTAGGGTACAAATTACTGTAGGAATTACCAAAACAACAAATTAGCCGATTTGGTCTGCACCAAATTAGTGAAGCGGTTGGGAATGCCCTTAACAGCCATGAAACAAACAAAAGAAAACGGGAAACCCAGTAAGTAACAAGCGACTTACATACCCGTAAATAATTGCTCTTTTGATAAACAGGTATTTGGGACGTATTCTCTCCTGTTTTTATTATAAGATATTTCAATTTATCTTAAGTTTTACTTGGTATGTTTTTCTAATTGAAAATAAAAGCTTAAAAGTATTTTTTTCATTATTGGAAGAACACAATAAATTTAAAATATATATTTTTATAGTTTTATTTTCAATTAGAAAACTATATTAAATAAAATTTAGAAAAAATCAAAATACTTTATCATAAGAGTAGGAGGGAGTTTGCAATAAGAAAATATCTCAGTCGAGTTTCTTTACACGTTTTTAAATGGTTGCAAAAGAAAGAAAAAATGGCAGTTAAATCAATGTGGGGTATTATTTGTACACCAATGAAATGGCTGGTGTCATCGATCATTAGGGCACAACTTTTGTGCTTTGTTTTGTATCAATGAAATGTTTGTGTTCGTGTTATTGTGTATACTGGTAGTAGTGTTTTCTTTTTTTCATTTTCCTTCACAAGAAATTTCATTAAAAATTCCAAATTACGTACGACAAACACAAAATTCTAGACAAATTAATATATATTTTTTCAACTTTACCCTCAATAAATGATGTCAATATATTTTCATTTAGTCTTATTTATAATTCTAATATAATTAATGAGGGATAAAACAAATATTTAATATATAAATTAATTGTTAAATAATTATTTTATTAGTTTACGTGCAAAGTCTAAAATAATTCGTATTTTAAAATAGATGATCTCATAAAAGTCCAACACGTATACCCGTCGTAACTTGAGCGGTTGAGCCTATAAAAAGAATCTCGGCCTATGATATTAACAGTTTATGTTGTACGTGTTTCAACAAAAAATGTATTATGTACGACTCTAAAACAAGAAAAGAGAATGAGATGGAAATGAAAGATATGTACTTGGGGAAATATACAACAATTAATATTAAATCATTTCTTTTTGTAATCCCAAAATAATTATCGTGTTTGGATTTTAATTTTTAAAACAACTTGAACTGTATATAAAAATTCAAAGAGTACAAAAACAGATAGAGTGTGTAATAATTGACATAAACAAATAAAATAAAATTATACTAACTCTTAGCAACATTGGGTAATCCAAATTGTATAGTCACTCCACTAAATCACATTCAGCGGCTATCCAAATTCTGTGATCAAGCCCTTGTTGGAGAATACGGGGAAAGTGATTTTTCACTAATACCAACGATGTCAAAGTTCAGTTCAAAAAGTGCATTCCTTTGAAACGTTTAGGATCTACTACATTCTAGTAATTTCTTGCGCGTTGAATGGTTCATCAATAATAATGAGTCCACATTGAAGTTCCTCTTTTTTTTTCCCCCAAAATAAATAAATAAATAGAGGGAGAAAGAAAACAAAATCCCTGTGTGATAAAAAGTTTCTTACTAAAATATAAGAATAATAAAAAGAAAATTAAAGCATTAGTAATTAAAATGATCCTCGTTGATAGAAGTAAGGGATGGCTGCCATTGAACAATACAGCTTCTTACTGATCTCTTCTTTTCTCCATCGGCTTTATCATTCAGGCTCCGGTTCGCGACCCGGTCATTAGCTCCGGCTCCGTTTTTCTCAGAACAGCCCACATCTTTCTTTCCGTCGATACCGAAGAACCGAACCCGACGATTCCGGGTCTTGATTTGGCTCTTGGACTTAATCAAGATGCCGAATCTGTTCTGAACAAAGGATGAAGAAGAAAAGTTCTCATCGCACGAGGAATCCGTAATCTGAAGGCCCGAACCCGAATCGATCAACCCGGTTGACCCGACAATTGGTTTCTTGATCCGCCGTCGGAGTTTCTTCACAGTTCGGAGAGAGACGACGAAGTATTTCTGGCCCGGAACAAGGATCTCGTTCGGCGGTACAATTGCGTCCCACGGCCGCCGGAAGACGTCTGGCCGAGCTAGCGTGAAGTACGGATACTTCTCGATGATCCTTTCAGCCGGAATAGCCATGTAGTAGAGCTCAACGCGGCCGCCGGCGTGGATGATCTTCAGCGCCGCCGGAGACTCCCCAAGCGCGGCCTGCTTCTCCGCCGCCTGATGATCCTCCATCGGATTCGGGTTTGGAGCCGGGGCAAGTTTTCTTTTACCGAAGAGCTTGTGAAGAATGATTTTCATTTTCTCGGAAAAGGGCTATCTGAGGTTTTTCTTCTGACGTTCACAATATATGTATGTATAATATGTATGCGTAAGAAAAAGAAGACGTCTCGTTTTTATACGCCTGAGGAGATATTTATTTTAGTCCAAATGGAAAAATAAAATAATAATAATAAGAGTGAACCTCAAAACAAGTCATCAATCTTTAATATATTTTCACTCTAGGTCATCAATTAAATTTATTTGTAGCACAGGTTACCTTACTAAAGTTTTAATCAATTTCAGATTATTCTGTTAATTTTGGCCGTTAAATAGTGACGGAAATCCATTTTTCACATGCTTTTGGGTTCAGGGGTATTTTTGTCATTTTATTATTATTTTTTTAATTTTTTTAATCTTTTTAATTTTTTTTTTTTACAATTCTTCTTCTTATACTTCCTAACTTGTATACACTGGTAGTATAATTTTAAATTTTAAAACTTTATTTTTCTTTTGTATTTTAATTTTTAGATTATAATTTTTTTTTAAAAAAAATTAAGAAATGAAGAAGAAAAATTCGAGTTAAAGTAAATATGAAAATTAATAATTTACCATTTTAAACAAAAAGAAAAACTAAAAGAATTAGCTAAGACAAGTTGTTTCTTCTAGGTTATTTAATTTTGTTCAACTTGATTGAATTATTTAATATTTAATTTTCACGTTTCTTATTCTTTTTTTTTATAATCTAGAAATTAAGATACAAATGACAAACAGATTCGTTTTTGAAAATTAATTTGTTATTTGTATATTAACTTGTAGATTATTAAAAAAAGAAATAAGAAACGTGAAAATTAATAATTAAATAATTCAATCAAGTTGAAAAAAATTAAATAATCTAGAAAAAACAACTTGTCTTAGCTAATTATTTTAATTTTTATTTTTTTAAAAAATGGTAAATTATTTATTTTCATGTTTAATTTAACTTAAATTTTTCTTCTTCATTTCTGAATTTTTTTAAAAAATTTTTTATAATCTAAAAGTTAAAATACAAAAGAAAAATAAAGTTTTAAAATTTAGAATTATACTACCAGTGTATACAAATTAGGAAGTATAAGAAGAAGAATTGTAAAAAAAAATAAAAAAATAAAAAGATTAAAAAAATAAAAAAATAATAATAAAATGACAAAAATACCCCTGAATCCAAAAGCATGTGAAAAATGGATTTCCGTAGATAAAATCTTAATTGTGATTAACGTCGATAAATTTAAAGAGCCAGCAGGCTATTATTGGACTGTTTATTTAGGATTTGGTCAGGATTGCCAAGTGCCAACCGCTGGGATTAAAAAAAAAAAAAAACTAATAAATTATGAAAAGACAGTGGCGTAATCCATTGGTTAGGTAACATCTATGTGTGAAACTTGGGGAGGGTCCGTACAGCTTGTCTTTTTCATTAGGATCTTTGTACGTTTTTTGGATTGTACTAAATCCGAGATCCCCAAATTTTCAAATTCTTCAAGAAGTTAAAATTCTTGTGGTTTTTGACAAACAGAAAATTTTTTATCTGGAGCCGGTTAATCTTGTTTTAAGATTCAAATTTCCACAAGTGTAATTTTGTATATTTTCCAGATCTGTGTCAATATAATTACTTACGTAGTGTACTGTCGGTACCATCTCGTCAATAACTGTGTTCATTTACCGCGAATAATTTCATTCACCTGTGAATGAATAAAAACAACCTTTCAAGCAGATCACTCGGTTCTAGATTTTTAGGTCATTATAAGGCCAGCAATGTTTTAGATGTACTCCCTCACCCCAGAACACGAATTTTCATCTTCTTTTGTACTACTCCCTCCATTCCAAAATAAGCGTCGTCCTATATTTTGCACATAGTTTAAGAAACTCTTAAATAGGGTAATAAAATTACTTGAATATCCTCAACCAACCCCATTATAAAATTGTCCACCAATAGCATCAACTCTTTTGAGGGTAATTTTAAAAACTTTTGACAAAAAGTGCATTGAAATGTGAGAACGACACTTATTTTGGAATTTCTCTATTTTGCTAAAACGACACTTATTTTGGAATGGAGGAAGTACATTAATTCAACAAATAAGACCCCTTTTTCTGACTAAGAGAGCTTTTTATAAAAATAATAATAATAATAATAATAATAATAATAATAATAATAAGAAACCTCAGTTTCACAAACGTATAGAATTCAATACAGGAAGACTAGTAAATACCATTAACCATATGTTATATGCACCAAATCCAAGGTCAAGGGATCAACTCTTTCATCAATAGTAACATCTCATATATCCTACCCCATTTCAGAAACATACTCCTTGCACCACACCCTGTCAACAGCATTCATATCTCTCTCGTTGTAAATCAATGAAACAGTTTCTTACCAGGATTTGCTTATAGCAATAGCAATTGCGGAACATTTCCCATACACCTTTCCTATCAAAATTTACTTACAAAGCTGTTAACTCACTAATACAACTCCATTTGTCCTACCAAAAAACACCCTTAAACAGGCTTTCTTCCCAATAATATCAGAAGAGTGAAACAAGAGAAATGACTGGACTCTCAACTCCCAGTGTGATTGTACAATTTGAAACCCAAAACATATACAGAAGACCCTTTTACATTATAAAGAGATTTCTGTCGAGACCATGTCCGAGCTCTGAGATTAAGAGAAAACCTGCACAAAATTCCTGCCTAACGGGAAAAAATAAAAAACACTAAAAGTCAATTACCGATACACAAGTGTATCATTTGTTTCTATCTAGTCAGCACCAATCAAGAATTCCATCCGCCAACTACTTTCCGACCTCCGTTTGTATATTTGAGCACCGATCAGCAATCACTTCATGCTTTGGGCAGGCCCTTCGCATTCGGACAAGGTGCGGATCTCAAAAATGATCCCAAACAAGCTATATTTTCTGCCTTCTGTTGCATTATACAGATTATGAGTCCCATTTAGAAATTGCTCGGCCAATTAATTTGTGAATGTTGCGGTTGCTGATATACACTGGCAGGGGGTCCAACCATATCCACGGGACTTGCCATAGTCTGAGGCTGCTGCAATAGCGGGTGAACAGTTGCCGCATTTACTGGTGGAGCTGGGTGATATAAACCAGCAAAGGTTGCATGGCCAGGCTGTGCAGGGGCGAAGGCCATCTGACCCTGAGGGAGATTGTAAAATGAACTTGCTTGAATGCTGGATACATCTCGGCCAGGAGGGTTGTTGATCCACGCCCCTGAACCTTCACTCTGCAAAAGAAAGAAAACCCAGGATCCGACTCTTTAAGTACAGAAAGCACTCTTAATCTAAAAAATCTAGAAGAAAATGAAATAAACTAGTGGGACAACAATCAAGCAATGCATTTTAGCTAATGAAAGTTGTGGCATTGTTATGTACCACTGTTTTGAGAGATGACCATGAAACACAGTATAATATGAAAATGTATAAAACACAGTATAAAACACAGTATAATGACCATGAAACCCGTAGACGCCAAATGAAAATGTATCAGATGTTCATTATAAGAAGCATGAAAGTGCCTGTTTTCAGAGTTTATCAAGCATACAAAACTCAGTATAATATAATTCACCAACCTGCTGGCCACTTGTATAGGCATTGTTTTCTTTAAAATGAGTAGCAAGATCTTCATTAGAAGTTGAATTCCCGGCTGCTGTTGCTGAACTAAGATTATAGTTTCCTACTGGGGAACTATATGTAACATAGCTTCCAGGGATTCCAGGATGATTTGAGTTAGTTGTGTTAGTTCCAGGCTTGTATTGAAGAACTGAATATTTGGCAGCTGCTGGCAGAGCTGGATACACATGGCCACCTTGAGGCTGCTGGGGAAAAGCACCATTGCCTATGAACTGATGGATTGCCGGAGGTGGAAGATAAAATGGAGAAAAGTAATGGCCATATGGGATATAGTTGGATGGGTAATGCGGTAGATGCAAACCAGCAGGCGGTCGAAAGACAGAGAGAGGTTGGGTTACGCCCATTGTGCTCTGCATGACCCCAGCAGTCTGGCTTACAAGTGGAGTTGGAGCTGCCGTGGACAAAACTGTAGGATTACTTCCAACCTGAAATTGGAGACATACATTAATTACATGAACAGGTAGAATCTCTGTACATATGACTATTGATTAACATGGAACGAGCATTCAACAGCCAGAGACACTATGCTGGACCTACATATAATGATTTTCAAACAAAATATGGAAACTGATCACTCAACCACAGCATATATCTGAGAAGTTGTACTTCATGCTTTTTCCCAATAAAAATTGAAAGACATAGCACAATTGGTTTTTATCCACATCTCGCAACTGCGTAAGTCGTGAACTCTGGCTGCTTAAAGAATTTCTGTATTACTCATAGGCAGCAATCACAGACATTGCAATCTTCATCTTTGATATCGAGTTCAACTTAAATGACTACAAAGGTAACTTTTCAGTTATGTTTGCAAGGAGGTAGAAGTAAAAGTAAATAATTGAGAATTTTAAACGAGCAAAGCAATTTAAGTACAATGGGCAGCGCAAGAGTGAGTGTGTGTGTGTGTGTGTGTGTGTGAGAGAGAGAGAGAGAGAGAGTGTGTGTGTGTGAGAGTGAGAGAGAGAGAGAGAGAGAGAGAGAGAGAGAGAGAGAGATTTGGGAGATATTTGAAAAGAAAAGGAAACATTAAGATGTTTTCAACCAAAACCTCAAGCAGGTAAATTTGATCAAAAAGGTATCCGAGAAACAGCAAGCAAGCACCACAAATAAACATAGCATTCCATGATTTTGTCCTCCGATTTTCACGTAATTTGAACAAGAAAATCATACATAAACCATGCATATTTTGAAGATATGGTGGCAATGGATAGACAAAAAAAAGTAAGAGTTATCCAGTAACAATGATCGGTTCAAACCTCTTGTGGAGACTGAGAAGTTTGAGGAGACAACATATTCAAATTCCCACTGTACTTGGTTGCTCCTCCAGCTGAATGAAAGGGTGAAATGCGACCATCAATATCTGATCCAGAGCGATAGAATTGTGCATAATAACTGGTTGGATCAAATGGTTGTTGAACCTGTAATTTATAAAAGCACACAACAACAAATCCCAAATTAAAAAACATACTTTGAAAACTTAACAAGGAGAATACCATTTATACTCAATGGACTATTATACGGCAATTTACATATATATTAACATAAAGATAGAAAAAATCAAGTGAAGAGACAAGAGACTAACAACATAAGTTGGAAGTCGAGAAACATCACGAGTTTGGCCCTCTGAACTTTCGAAAGGTGGAACCTGACTGCCAAGCATTGGGGGAACTAAACCAATGCCATAGTTTGAAGTATGATTGCTGGAATATTCATGGTCTTCGGGTGCATTCTCTTGCTTAGAATCACTATCTGGAACATTAGAGGTTGAGACGCCACCATCACTGGATGATAAATTTTCAGGCCCATAGGATGATGACTGGTTATTCTCTGGATAATCAACTTCATCCACAGTTCCAAAGGCATGGTTGCTGTAACAAACCAAGAGGAATCAACATTTCGGTAAAGTAATAAACAATGATATTTCTAAAACTTAAAATTAAAAGAAAATTTTAAAATTAGGTTTTGGACAACAAATTGCTATTAGCATCATGTATAACAAGAACCCTTTTTTCCACTAGGCGGGGTCGGCAATACGGATCATTATGTTGCCATCGTGCTCAATCAATACACAATTCATCCTTCAAATTTCAAGTAATTTTGGATAGTTTCTTTCCAAGTCTTGTTAGGTCTACCCTACCCCTCTTAATTTGAAATCTTTATTCTATAGTTTCTACCCTCCTAACTGGGGATGAAAAATTTTACTTTCCAACTAACAAGATGACAGTAAACCATATGTATCATACACCATGTGAAAGTTTCTCATTCATTTGCTTAAACTTCAGGAGTAATAGCCACGCAAATTAGGTTGTAACGGAGTTTCAGGAATAACAAGGCATATTCAGATAGTTAAATTGAAGAAATTAGCATTCAAAAAGACTGGGAGTCTTTAACTATTGTCACATCATGGCATGAAAGGCAAAATAAGCACATCTGAATATTACTTCATTATGATATTGACTTAACAATAGTAATGGGGCATTGCTGAAGCAGATAGACAAGGGTAAGAGAAAAACTTTTGCATTTTGGTCTTTCTCTTGGTGGTGAGAATAAAAATTTTCTGCCAGAAGGGAACACTCTACAGAGTATAACCAACTATATATAACTTGCACAGAAGCTTGCATCTAAGTTTCTTGACTATAACAAGCTTATAGTATAACCAACTATACAACTATATAAGCTCAAAACACAAAGCGCCTGCTTGTTTCACATATCAAAACAGCCAATAAATAATATTTGACTTCCAAACACAATAGAAAGCAGGATAATCAAAGCACAAAAAACCTCCCACTTGACAAAAATTTACACCCACACGCATTCTTCGGCAATTTGCCAGCTCCCTCAGTTAAGAAATTGCATCAACAACTTGAAGTCAGCACCAAACAAGCGAATAAAACCAAATTGGAATAACAAGTTATACCAATAGAGCAAACCAAATGAAAGTGGAAGAAAGGAACCAATGGGCAAGCCCACTGAATTCATGCAGTCACGCCTTGTATTAGATCTCATTAAAAGGATCTGCTCAACAATAGCGACAGGCAATGATAATCCAGAATTTGAAACCTAATTTGCAAAGAAGAGAAAGAGAGAAAAGCTCAAAGAAACCTGGATGACTGTTCATCAATAGCTTCTTCACTCTCGCCAGACACTTCTGAAACAGGCAAAGTCTTAAAATTCTCTGTACTTCTAGTATAGCTTGTGTTAGCCACAAAGCTAGGTTCAAAACTTCCAAAACAGAATCCAAGCTTTTCAACTTCAGGTACATGAAGGTGATTGGGGATGATCACATGTGGTTGACCACCAGAAATACACACATCTTCTAATTTCTTCTGCACCTCAACGTCAGCTTCCTTGGAGTCAACGGCTTTTAACATTCTGGTATTAGCTTCAACTGAAGTAGCTGGAGGCTCAGACGAACTAGCTGTCCCAGAGCCCTGAGTAAGATTAGGTGTTGTTGATTTTGGTTTCCACTCCTTACCAGGACCCACTAAAACAAAAAAGGGAAGAATTAATAAGGGAACCAAACTTCTGTATTTTACTAGGAGATGAACCTTATATTCACCTTTGAGTTCCTAAACAAAGCACGATAAATTTCATCTTGAGGTTTCTGAGTTACTATAATAAATGAAACGAATTTCTTTCCATTATGTGGCACGAGTATCAATTCAATGTAATCATCATCTTAAGCAGATTCCAACCAAAAGCATTTATTTTAGACCAAATGAATGGACCACAAGTTAATGATGATAAATCAATTGATATCAAGAGAACACTTGCAAACAGCAATATGCCACATATGGTTATAAAGGGTAACGATACAACTTCAGTTTAGTATAAAACCAACCAAGCATACGGTTTGACATTTACAGTCACATCACTGTTCTTAGGGTTTTTAAATTAACTGTTTTTGGGATCCCACTGATACCGACTGCATGCGAAATAGATAACATAAGATGCAAATGAAACACATGGTTGATGGACAGAAGATTACACAAATATAAACCTCAGATTGCAGACTACAAAACAGTCATTTGTGAATATGTACATTCAAATCTTGTTCATAACTTTCCAGTCTATGTTTTTGAATCAGCTCTTAGTAAAAGTTCTATTATCTGTCCATATTCTCCAGATTGGCCTTTCAAGTCTTTATTCTGCACATCCAGCAATGCTATCATGGTGATGTAATCAACTGTTAAATACAACATTATTCTCTCAAGAACTTTAGCCCCCTGTAATATTTTTCACTGGCTCAGGGGATAGTTACGTGCTTGCTAGTAAATATTTTCTAGAACTAGAAACGAAAATCCCAACAGTTTTTCAGCAGAGGAAGAACCTAGGAGGTTTTCCCTCAAGTTTTTCATCCCTTCTCCTAACTAACATATCTGGAGATCCTATAAAGTGTTGTGTTTTTCCTCATTAGAGATTCTGAACTTGCGGAAGGATGTGTAAAGGAGTCACGTGAGATCCATCACGCAATGTATCATACATTGCCAGTTTACAGCACAAATTTTTTGAGTTATTGGTTTTCAAACATCAAACTCCCTAGTCCCTATTCTAGTGCCAATAGTACCCAAGTAAAGTAAAAGCAACATGCAGTTTCACGATAAATCTGTAACATTCTTTACATTTTCAAAATTATTACCAGTCTTTAATGCCTACAAACCACGCTTAGATCCCTAATGATGTCTACTTATGTCAACGTCAGACTTCTTCTCATTACAGAATAGTGAAAATCTTCACTTACAACAAAACAGACAACCAAACCATTCTCAAGACGAATGATCCTTCATCCTGACATCATAAACCAGAATAAACATTTCGACGAATCTGGATCATTAATCATGCTCTTTTGAGGGCAGAAAAGATAAAAGAAATGCAACCTAAGAAAGAATATAGTATGAATAAGCTGCAACCATAGACACTTTATCTAACACATACTTTCACGAGTTTTGGAACAAAAGTCATGTTTATAACAGCCTCCCTCACAAAGCAGACATTTAAACGAAACCTATCAATCACAGCCAAACATTCAAAAAGTGAAAAAATAATGACACTTTGTTTGCTTTCTCTCTGGGTGTAACATATATTTTCTACATTCTAAAAACTTCTTTAAGAATGTAGGTTGGCCTAGACTACTCTCTAACATAAATGACTACCATCAGTTTCCCTAATTCCCTAAGGAGCAGATGTGGTTGGGGCAATGTGTCATATAGAGAGCAAAATATTGTGTGGTAACGGGAACCATAACATCAACATAGCTCGTTTTCAAAACAACACAAAACAAAAAAATAAATAAATAAATAAAAATAAAAAATAAAATTCAACATAGCTAAACATCTATAATTATGGAGGCAGATTTTGAAATACTTTATGAAACTTGATACATGGATCATATATCTCCATAGTGTTCTAACGAAACACGCATCTTGCTATTGGTACCCACATTTTTTAAGGGTATTTTCAAAAGGAAAGAGCCAAAAATCAATTGAAAAAATTTAAACACTGCCTTGAAATGGAAGGATGCATTCACAGATATTCCTTTTCCTCCATTTGTCATAAATAAGATGTGCATTGATCTGGTCAGGGCATGGGACAAAAATTTTCTATCTTTCACAAACTAAAATCTAAACTTCATGGTCATATACTTGCTGACTTTAAAAATCAGTTTCACAGGAAAAACAAACAAACAAAAAACACTACTTTGTATTCATCTAATTACACACTTATTTCTTCCTCTTCTTCAAAGAAAGCACAATTAAAGAACTCTCTGATACTCATACCAAGCTAATAGATAAAAAGGCTTAAAATTCCTGCTTCCCTCATGCTAAAGTTATACAGCAGGGTAAGATATTGCTGAAGCAGTGTAAAGTTTTCATTTTCCACTCTACTTTAAGTCTTTATCCTAAAAAAGAAAAAAAAAAAGAACAAATTCAACTGAAACTGAAAGAAGATAACAAGGGAAAGCTAAACGACTTTCTGTTCCCATTACACTTGCACCAAGTATTATTGGATGAATTATATAAGCAACATTTTCATAATGGTTAAAGATGGTTCCTCACAGTTCGTTATATTCATTACTATTATTTCATAAGCTTTAGAAATTACGAAAACACAATTTGCACTCTAATATGCTGGTTGTATCAACTAACATTGCCAGACTGGTTGCCCACAGCAATAAAGCTAAACGACTTTCTGTTCCCATTACACTAACACCATGTATTATTGGATGATTATACTTGTAAGCACCATTTTCATAACGGTAAAGATGGCTCCTCATTGTTTGTTATATTCACTACTATTATTTCACAAGCTTTAGAAATTACGAAAACTCAATTTGCACTCTAATATGCTGGTTGTATCAACTAACATTGGCAGACTGGTTGCCCACAGCAACAATTGTTGCATCCAATAATTTCCTACAAACCAAAATCATTTTACAGCTTTAGGCAGGAAAACCTTTAACTAATAACAAGGCTCGAAGACAAATAAAACAAGAAAAACAACAAAACGGGTACACTTCAGTATTTCTAATTCAATTACCTTTCTGCGGACCAATAGCTTGTGATCTATTGCCATAATTAGATGACGGCCTACCGACAGGAGGAATAGTATGAAGCCCAGATGTCGTTTGAGAAGTATCCAAATGCATATTCTTCCCAACACCGTGTGGCTTGCTCAGAACCTTTCCTTGGACGCTTGAGCTCCCAACCTCAGTAGCACCTTTTTAAGATAGACAAACAATGAACGCCATAAAGGACAATTCAGATAAAGAAATAGCCATCATAAGCCATAGCCAAGTTAAACCACTCAAATTGACCATAAATTCCTCACCAGCAACAGATTTGCTCCTATCACTGTTAGCTGAGATCTGCTCCACAATAGGTTGCTCAATACCCACTCCAAATTCAGATGCTACCACAGTACCAGAGGGCTGTAAATCTTTTGTCGACAAGATTACTGATGCTGCAGAAGATAAACTGTCACTGAAATCTGGAACTTGCTGCCTATTCTTTTCCCAGGCTCCAGAAGCACCGGCAGACCTTTTGTTTGCTTGAGGAGCCATCTGTTCTGGCAACTTCCGAGTATCAGAGTTTGTCGAGGAGTTGGCGTCACGCCTAATAGCCATACTCCCAGAAACTAAAGGACCATTGGCTTGGGAAGTTGATAAGCTGAAAGAAGAAACTATAGCATTAATAAATGGAAAAGACTATGTTTAAACATTTTAAATCAAATCACTCCCTAAAAACATGTGGTTGTAAGTAGCTAATGTAAGGGAAATAATTTACAACAAAGCATGATAATTTATTTTCAGATTGACTCAAAAACAAAACCTTTCACTTATAACCATTCATCCATTTTGACGGAGCAATATCACTATTCATCATACTCGACAACTAAAAAGGTAAAAGGAAGGTATTGTTCGCGCCTTAAGAATTATATGTTGAAAAATTCCAGGACCAACTTTGCTTACGGTAAATAACAATTCCTTAAAACCAGATATGAGCAATAAAACTACAGCACCTCGAAACAGAAGGTTTGCTTTTGGTCTCCAAGCTTTGCTTATCTGAGTTTTGATTGGGGACACTATCCTTTGCAGAAGCAGAATTCCTTCCACCAGCAGTACTATCTAACAATCAGTAAAACCCATAACATAAAAATCGTAAAAAACATTAGCGCACACATTTTAACCCCATACCCTGGAGGCATAAAGAATGAGCCTTTACAACAAAAACAAAAACAACAAGAAGCCTTTACCCAAGTATATGGGGTTGGAAAAAAGAATGAGTCTTTAGAAAACACAAGAGTGATTTTAGGTTATCCAACAAGCTCACCAAAGAGTTGAAAAAAACCCAAAAAACATCTTGCAAACAAGGGAAAAAAACAATATGCAGCGCCTATGAATTTCATAGAAAGGAGGCTATACACATAATTCCCCAATTTTCCAGTCGTACCAGGTAAAACATTTAAACCACTTAATGCGCTTATGCAGTATCAAGTATCATGAAACTTAAGAAATTATACCATATGACGTATTCCTGGACGAATGGGTTCCTCGTCCCTCCTTATTTCCCCTACTTTGCATCCCAGGTTTCCACCTTGAATCTGCAGAATCCCTATTATGATTCTGCACAAAAATGAGGAGTGACTTGTTAAGCAGGAAGCAGACAATGAATCTAAACTGACTGTACTAACCAAAAAATCAAATATGAAACTACAAGTCCGCAACTAGTACAACAATAACCCCCTCCCAAACAAACTCACAAGGCAGATAACCATAAAGAATGAGTTAACAATAACTACAAAAAATTCATAATGTACAGAAAAATACATATATCTCAAGGGTAAAAGGTCCAAAAAAATACCACATCAAACAATGAAGTAGAGTAAGCTAAATAAGCATGTCGTAACTTTCTCAAATTCATGGCAAATAAATGCTCCAACATAAATCCCACGTCAAAAACTGCCAAACCATGGTCAGAAATAAAAGTATGGTCTATGAACATAAGAAGCCCAGAAAAAAAAAGAATTCTCTGTCTTCTATGTTTTTCTTCAATAAATTTAACAAAACAAACAAGCCTGCACCAAGACAACAGAGCCACCATCGTGGTCGCTCAATGAGAACAGATTGTGTAACTATTGATGGTTACACGATTATCCTAAGAGTGAATATTCACTTGTTATTGTTAGTTGGGGATGAGATCTATCATCATCATCCTAAGGCATTACAGCAAAAGTATCACCATCAACTTAATGCTCTTCTATCTTTTTTATTGACAAAATCTTGTTACCCTCATTCCAAATTCAATGCAAATTTTCAATAACACACGATTTCACAACCAAGCACAATGCAGGATGAAACAAGGCAAGAAATGTGTCTGTGAATCGCTAACCAGACTGCAACTTTACCTCTTTCTTTCGATCACGCTTCCTTCGCACCTCATGAAATGTGTCTGCAATCAGCAAAGTAAAAACAATTTTATTTAAATTCAGAAAGAATATCCATTCAGAAAGAATATAGGATAGCAACAGGTGAAGCCAGTCCAATATGTCAAACTAAACCACGTCCTTCAACATCAACATTGCATTATCAGCATGGTGAAATATAACCTGAAAACTCACATGCACGACACCAAAAAAAAAAAAAAAAAGAAAGAAGAATAAAAACTTGCAGAAATAAATTTAAGTTAGGGACACCTAGATGTCATATCAGCAACTTATATTCAGAAAAAAAAAAAAAAACCCAACTGCCATCCTGGCAACTCTACATGGCAGTGTAAAAACACAATTAACAGGAAATTAAGGTTTTTTCTGGCAGAGAAAATCAAATGAACAACAGTAAATCAGCCCAAACGGAGAAAGGGATGAGAAATGCCTACACCTACATCTCCACCGCAAACCACACCGAAATTTACAATTTCTACAAGAACTTTCAGACTCCTCAAAACAAAGACCAAATTCACTCCGCCCCCACAATCGTATAAGTTCTCCATAAAACTTTGTTCTTTACCCAATTCAAGATGAAAGAAAAACCCCAGATCACAAATTTCAATTCAAGATCAAAAAGGAAAAACCCCCCAACAAAAGCTACTAAAGAGAAGAAACCGGATTGAGAAGAGAGTTGGGAGGAAAACCTTGGAGGAGGAGCTTCTGGGTAGTCTCATTAGGATCCATAGAGCACTCCTTGAGCATTGCATATATGTCTTCGTCACTATGATTACCCGTGATCTCCTTTATATTCTGGATCGTCTTCCTCACATTGCTTGGTATTATAATCGCGGCCCTATGGTTGTTTCCAGCTTTGGCTGCTGCTGCTGCTGCTGCTCCTCCTCCACTGCTCATCTTTTTCCCAAATTCACACACACACCAAAAAAAAAAAACCCCACCGCCCCCAAATCGAACCAAAAACACCAATGTCAAAACAATTATATATCTATATCAGAAAAAAAAAAAAGAAAAACCCCCCACAAAAAAAATTGAGTTCTTTAGTCTATTTTATTATAATATATATGTAATCTAATGCCTATGTGTTATATATATGTAGATTATAGAGAGAGAGAGAGAGAGAGGAGGGATGAATCTTCTGCGTATGTGTAGGGGAAAAATGAATGTGTGTTTTAGGGTGTTGTGCGTGTTTTATATTATATGGGAATTTGGGGGAAATGTTGGATGAATAGAGCATTCGGTGAAAGAAAGAGTTGGAACCGAAGGAGAAAAGGGGGAAGTCTTTTGCTTCTGTGGAAGGGTTTTGAATCACTATTAATTCCTACTTTCCTTTTCTTTTCTATTTTTTTTTTCTAATTTTCCTCCTCTTTTACATTAGGGGGCTAAAGAAAACCAACATACAGTATTTATTAGTATTAAGCTGTTTATTTATACCTTTAAAATATTCAAAAATATTATTTTATTATACATAATTTTCCATTTCAATATTATAAATAATAGGTAAATTAGTTTATACATATACCTTGTGGGAACAGGTTTGTTGCAACTTCAAACAATACTAAAAAAATCAAATTAATTTATTATAAGATTTTACCCATCATATAGTAAGTTTTTGTTTTCAGCTTTTCGTTAGTATCCTTCAAATTACAATTAGGAACGAAATACGGAAACAGTTTGTATAGATCTTATTTAATAAAGTATTTTATCTTAGCTATTTCTTTAAGATTTTTTTTGTCAAGTGAAGGTAATTTTGTACTTTCTCTTCTCCCAAAAAAATTAATAAAATAGGACAATTTATATAAATTTTATTGTGGAGTATTTTCTGAGATGGCAGGAGTAATATAGTAAAATAAAATTTAAAAAAAACAAAGAAACTCTTGGACATAATACATATCTTCTTTATAGTCTCTCTTAATATCAAAACTTGCGTATTCTAGTATTGTTTGCAGTTAATAGAGAGATGATGCGAGAGTAAATTTAAACAGAGTTTATTAATTCTTTGCTGCTTAAGCCATTCAATCCAACCCATACAGTGTTTGTTCTAAGCTCAAAACGTTGTGCTTGTGTTGATTCTTTCGTGAAAGGATTGGCATCACTCTTTGAATGCTAGAAACAAACAATTTGAGGAACTTTATAATGAAAAAAGACGATTACTAATGAAAAGACAAAATGTAAATGTTTATTAATGATAAATTTTAGTATGCTAACTCATTGTGTAATGTATCTGTCAGTTACTATGTCAGTTAATTGTGAAATTTCACTATATTCCAGGTTCAGTTAATAAATCAAAAGTTGTGATATTTTGAGAGATTGTCATGAATAGGTTTGTGATGTATTTTGTGGAGTCCAAGTTATAAGGTCTTGATTTCAAAATATAAAGGTCCGTATTGCTCACAAATCTTTAGTTGTATGCGGTTTTTTTTTTTTTTAATAATTATCAAAAAAGTACCAGAAGTTGCGATTTCGTCCTTACTATATGTCTCAAGTTCAAATCGTCCTTATTAAATGCCATAAGTTGTATTTTTGTTCTTTTTGGATTTTCCGTACAGGTACCGTTAAATTTGTGATAGTGTACTGGTCAACTGCTGACTTGTCAAAAGGGTACTTTTCTCTTTTAAATGAAAATAATTAGAAAAGCAAAAAAAAAAAAACGTTATTGTTTCATCATTTTTTCTATTTTCTTCCCTCCCGATTCTCTCCATTAATTTTTTTTGTAATAAAAATAAAAATAAGTACTTTAAATTTAATGCTTTCTTTATTGAAATAAAAATTTAATGCTTTCTTTATTTTTCTATTATTATTATTATTATTATTATTATTATTATTATTATTATTATTATTATTATTATTATTATTTCTTCCTCTCTCTTTTTTTGGCCAAAATAAAAGTTAACACATTTTTTCAATAATGATGCATCACCGAAAACTTTAAAAATACACAAATACAATACTACTTACGATACAAAAATTTAAAAAGGGATCTAGCAAAAACCAATACCACCTCTAGTAATCCCTCAAAACCCAATGCAACATCAAAATGTATTGACCGAAACTATAACACTTGAAGCGGCTCCTAAAGCAGCAATTTTTTCCAAATTGAAAACAAAGAATGCTAAACACACTTCAAAAATACAACAGAGTTTACTAGATACTCAAATAAATTATTTTTTTAGGAGAATCTACGGCGGTATCTGGCGGGAGGACCCGAATTTTATTAATTTAAAAAAGAAAGTATACAAGGTAGTGCTTAAGACTTACTCAAAAGAAAAGAAATCGTCTTATAAAAGTTTCTAGAAACTCCATGACGATTTCTGAACAATCTAGAGCTATGAACTGTCTTACAAAGATTTTACTAAAAATCCTTGACAGTTCAGTTTTTAAATAAAGATACTATGAACTGATTTACAAAGATTAAGCATAATCCCATATCAGTTCAATACTTTTAAAATTCCTTTCCTAAAGAAAAATAAAAAAAACCTTATCTAATCTTAATGTATGGAAACGATCTTTGGTCTAACATTATTAAACCACGAATCTTAGATGGCATAGCCAGGTAAGAATCATAGTTTATATGTATACCATTTGATCCCATTTTTGCAAGTAAATTTGCCACAACATTGATTTCACGAAAAACATGTTGTATTGCATAATGCTTCCTCCTTAAAATGCTGAAAATCTCTGTTAGTTCTGCAAAATATTTCCATGGGAAATCTGTACTTTTGAGAAGAAGGTCCACAACAACTTTATTATCTGATTGCACTTGGACTCCGGGGAGATCTTGCAATTCACAGTATCTGAGACCTTCAAGTATACCTTGAATTTCAGCTTCAAAACTGAAATTTTGCCCTAAGTAGCCGCATGCTGCATGAACCAATCTTCCATGCTCACCTCGAACCACATAGCTTCATCTGCTTCACCTGGACTTCCTTTCGCAAATCCGTCTGTATTTAAAATAAAGTCCCCAAGGTTTAGAGGTTTCCAAGATATCATCATAAACATCCTTACTTTCGGAAGTTGAAACTTTACTTGAAAAAATTCTTCCAATTGATGATGTCCTAGTCGTGATTCAGCTCTCAAAGAAATGAAATCTCAAAAATTCTTCCAATCTTTGATGAAAGCCCAAAGATTTTCAGATTGTGGTAGCTGCAAATTCATGTGGTCCGCAAAAAATTTCCAAACCCTAACCGCTGCAGAGCAGCTCAAAAAGACATGATCAATAGATTCTTCATTCTCTAAATAGAGGGGACATCGAGAAGGTCGAGCATAAATTCTAAATTTAAGGACCGTATCAGACAGAGGTAGTAAGCGATTAAAAAATCTCCAACAACAAAAAGAAATTCTGGTTGGGATCACGTTGTTCCACAACGCTTTTATCCAGAAATTTCCGTGTTGTTTTTCCCTTAAAGCATGTTAAGGAACCCGTCTGAGAGGGCTGCCAAATGAATATATCTTGCTCATATGAAGATCTGAAAGCGGCTGCTTGGTGATTCAGGGCTGCTTGGTGAAAGCCCAAAGATTTCCAGATTGTGGTAGCTGCAAATTCATGTGGTCCGCAAAAAATTTCCAAACCCTAACCGCTGCAGAGCAGCTCAAAAAGACATGATCAATAGATTCTTCATTCTCTAAATAGAGGGGACATCGAGAAGGTCGAGCATAAATTCTAAATTTAAGGACCGTATCAGACAGAGGTAGTAAGCGATTAAAAAATCTCCAACAAAAGAAAGAAATTCTGGTTGGGATCACGTTGTTCCACAACGCTTTTATCCAGAAATTTCCGTGTTGTTTTTCCCTTAAAGCATGTTAAGGAACCCGTCTGAGAGGGCTGCCAAATGAATATATCTTGCTCATATGAAGATCTGAAAGCGGCTGCTTGGTGATTCAGGATAGTTATTTGTTCGTCGGACAAAGAACCAGATATTACCGGCAGAATATGTTGCTTATTCTCAAAAATTTCCTTGACTGTGAGCTGAGGGAGAGGTAGACGCGGTTGCTGGTTAAATCTACAAAAAACACCAAGATCAGACCATGGATCAAACCAAAAAGAAATCATACATTGGCCTAAACGAATCGTCATAAAAGTTGCGCGACCATCAATATTAACAATCTGGTGCCAGCTCGTTGTTCTGTTCCGAGAAGTATGTGATAAAGATGCCATAAATTTTGCCCAAATTCCAGTCTGATTTTTGAATTTCCACCATAACTTTACAGCAAATGCATCAATAACATCTTGAAATTTCCTAAGTCCAATTCCATTTTCCTCTGTCGGGAAAGATAGCCGCCGCCATGATCTCCAATGTCTTCTCATACCTTGATTCCTTTCACTCCATAAAAAGTTCTGACATCTAGTCTCTATGGCCTAAATGATGGTTTTCGGTGGCTCAATTGCAGCAAAAGTGTGGAGCGGGATTGCAGCAAGGACATGCTTGATTAAAACCAAACGTCTCCCACTTGACAATAGCTTATTACACCAGTTGAATAACTTAGCATCCAAAGAATCGAGTAAATATTGGAAGTAGCTGACCACCTTTCTTCCTTTGAATATTCTGGATTCTAAATATCTCATTGGAAGTGTACCCTTTTGCAATCCTAGAATTCTTTGGACGCGAGACACTTGATCATTGCTTACACCATCGGAGATTAGGAAATCACTTTTACTTCTGTTGATTTTTTGACTCGTCACTAATTCATAAATCTTGAAAAAATCATTCAAAGCCTCAAGTGACCTTGTAGAGCCTTTAGTGAACACTATCAAATCATCCGCATAACACAAATGGGATATCGGTAATGATCTAGCTGTCATATCAAAGCTCGCAACTCGACTCGAAGATATTAAAAATTCCAATCTTCTCGTCAATGCTTCCGACACTAAGAGAAAAAGATATGGTGATAATGGATCATCCTATTTAATACCCCGAGTAGCCTGGAAAAACCGGTTGGACTTCTATTAATCAACACCGAAAACCAGCTGCCTCCAAGATTATTCATAATGAGTTGAATGAAATGCGCATGGAAACCAAACGCAGTCATGATCGCCTTGAGAAAACTCCAAGATACTCGATCAAAAACCTTCATCATATCAACTTTGAGAATGACATTTCCTCCAAATGTTTTGTTATCTAGAAATTGTACTAAATCCTGAGTAAGGAGAACATTATCCATGATATCTCTTGCCGCTAGATAGGCCGATTGTTCTTTTGAGATAACCTTGTCAAGTAGCGTTTCAGCCTCTCTGTCATGATTTTTTCGTAAAAACTTTGTTAAGAAAATTGCACAGGCTAATTGGGTAATAATCCGCAAAACTCGATACTGACGCCTTTTTTGGAATGAG